ATTTTAACAACCCTCAATAAACTATTCATTGAAGGAACATACTTCAAAAATAATAAGAGCCATATATGACAAACCCACCGTCAACATCATACTGACTGGATGAGCTGGAAGCATTCCTCTTGAAAATTGGCCCAAGACAAGGATGCCCTGTGTCACCATTCCTATTCAACATAGTATTGGAAGTCCTGGCCAGAGCAATGAGGCAAGAGAAAGAAATAAAAGGCATCCAAATAGGAAAAGAAGAGAAACTATTCTCGTTTGTAGATGACATGATTCTGTATCTAGAAAACTCCATAGTCTTTTCCCAAAAGCTCCTTGAGCTGATAAACATCTTCAGCAATGTTTCAGGATACAAAGTCAATGTAGAAAAATCACTAGCATTCCTATACACCAACAACAATCAAGCCAATTGTGAATGGGATTGCTTTCCAATCAAATCAGGAAGGCAATCCCATTCACAATTGCCACAAAAGGAATAAAATACCTAGGAATACAGCTAACTAGGGAGGTGAAAGATCTCTACAATGAGAATTACAAAATACTGCTCAAAGAAATCAGAGGTGACACAAACAAATGGAAAAATATTCCATGTTTATGGATAGGAAGAAACAAATCATTAAAATGACCATACTGCCCAAAGCAATCTACAGATTCAATGCTATTCCTATCAAACTACCTATAACATTCTTCACAAAACTAGAAAAAACTATTTTAAAATTCAAATGGAACCAACAAAGAGCCTGAATAGCCAAGGCAATGCCAAGCAAAAAGAACAAAGCTGGAGACATGATGTTATGTGACTCCAAACTACACTACAGGGTAACAGTAACCAATACAGTACAGTACTGGTATGAAAACAGACATATAGACCAATGGAACAGAATTAGAGAGCCCAGAAATAATACTGCACACCTACAACCATCTGATCTTCAACAAAGCTGACAAAAACAAGCAATGGGAAAAGGACTTCGTCCTTAATAAATGATGTTGGGGTAACTGGCTAGCCATATGCAGAAGATTGAAACTGGACCCCTTCCTTAGGCCATATACAAAATGCAATGCAAGTTAGACTAGAAACTTAAACCTAAAACCTAAAACTGTAAAAACCCTGGAAAACAACCTAGGAAAAACCATTCTGGACATAGGAACTGGCAAAGATTTCATGATGAAGACACCAAAAGTAATTGCAACAAAATCAAAAATTGACAAATAGGATCTAATTAAACTAAAGAACTTCTGCACAGCAAAAGAATTTATCAACAGAGTAGACAGACAACCTACAGAATGCAAGAAAATATTTGCAAACTGTGCTTCTGACAAAGATCTAATAGCCAGTATCTATAAGGAATTTAAACAAATTTACAAGCAAAACCAAACAATTCCATTAAAAAGTGGGCAATGGACATGAACAAACACTTTTCAAAAGAAGACATACATGTGGCCAAGAAACATTTGAAAAAATACTTAACATCACTGATCATTAGAGAAATGCAAATCAAAACCACAATGAGATATCATCTCACACCAGTCAGAATGGCTATCAAAAAACAAACAAACAAAAAAACAGATGCTGACGAGGTTGCAGAGAAAAGGAAATGCTTATATGCTGCTGGTTGGAGCGTAAATTAGTTCAGCCATTGTGGAAAACAGTGTGATGATTCCCCAAAGAACTAAAAATAGTATTACCATTCGACCCAGCAGTTCCATTATTGGATATATACCCAGAGGACTATAAATCATTCTACCGTAAAGACACATGCATGTGTATATTCACTGCAGCACAATTTACAATAGCAAAGACATGGAATCAACCTAAATGCCCATCCATGGTAGACTGGATAAAGAAAATGTAGTACATCTACAACACAGCATATGAAATCATGTACTTTGCAGCAATGTGGATGGAGCTGGAGGCCATTGTCCTTAGCAAACTAACACAGGAACAGGAAACCCAATACCACATGTTCTCACTTATAACTGGGAGCTAAATAACGAGAACTCATGGACACAAAGAGGGCAACAACAGATACTAGGGCCTACTTGAGGGTGGCGGGTGGGAGGAGGGAAAGAATCAGAAAAAAAAAAATGCCTGTCAAATACTATGCTTAGTACCTGGGTGACGAAGCAATCTGTACACTAAACCCCTGTGACACAAGTTTACCTATTTAACAAACCTGTAAGTGTACCTCTGAGTCTAAAGTAAAAGTTAAAAGAAAAAAATATATCTATTGACAAAAAAGAAAAAGGGAAGAAATCAGAGGAGTTTTCATGAATGGCATAATTAAGAAGAGCTTTCAATAAAAGCCAAGCATCAAATTACCCTAATATCTAATGACTGGTAAAAAGAACAACTACAAGACACCAATGAAAAAAAATTGAAGAGGATCAGAAGAATTAATACTGTTAAAATGACCATACAATCCAAAGCAATCTACAGATTAAGTGCAACCCTATCAAAATACTAATGACATTTTCACAGAAATAGAAAAAACAATCCTAAAACTCATATAAAACCACAAAAAACCCTGAGCAGTCAAAGCAATCCTGAGCAAAACAACAACAAAAAAACAAACCAAAGCTAGAGGCATCACACTACCTGGCTTCAAAATATATTACAAAGCTATAGTAACCAAAACAGTATGATACTGGTATAAAACAGACACACGACTAGTAGGACAGAATAGAGAACTCAGAAATTAATCCATGTATCTATAGCCTACTGATTTTTCCAAAGGCATCAAAAACATTCTGTGGGGAAAGTGCACACTCTTCAGTAAACAGTGCTGGGAAAACTGGGTTACCCTTTGATATCATAGCCTTGGTATTTGTCTTGAGGAGCATTATAAGAACTCTTATAAAATGTATAATTTCTGTATTTGCTTTGAAAATTGTTATTGGGAATATTATTCATTATGTTGTTCAGTTGTCTTATGTTAGGTCCCAAATGAGAAACTTTGTTTGGAATTTAGTTTTGGAGGAAATCCACTTATTTCTTTAATTTATTCATTTGACAAGAAAAACCAGGAAGCTTATACCCACATGAGTGTGTCATCTCTGTAATTATATTTACCTTTGTGGTTAGGTATTTTAGGTATTTACTTTCTGTGACCTTGACATTTTTCCTTTTTTGAGCTATACCACATATGTTCTTTGCTGTAAGTTATCCTAAATCCATTCTATGCCCTTTTATTAGAAAGGAGATAGCTTATGTATTAAAAAACAAATTAATGAAATGAAACTATGTAGAAATCAATGTAGGTTTGTCTACATTAAATTCCAAGTTACAAAGCCATTAAAACATAATGCAATTCCCAGTTTCAGTAGAGATTTATTATAGATATATTTTAAATACTGAGTTCCCATGCTATATTTACAGTATTACTTATTTTATATTCAGATGTTCCAACCTTACTATTCCATAATGTGGAAGTACCTAGAGTGCTTTACTTTGATATGTGCTATTATGCCCATTTTGTTACTTCAGTTTTCAAATAATTCAGTCAATCACTCTATAATTGCAGGCAAATAGGAATACATGTTGTTATATGCAGCGTTATGCAGTTACCATTTGCATTCACTGTAAATGGATTCCATCTCCTTGGTCTTGCCCTTCTATTGGGGGAACCCACCTCCGATAATTCAACATTATTTCACATAGGTTCTTTTCTATTTCCCTAAGTGTTGGCCGGTCTGAGAAATAAAGGGAAAGAGTACAAAAGAGAGAAATTTTAAAGCCGGGTATCTGGGGGAGACATCACATGTCAGCAGGTTCAGTGATGCCCCCTAAGCTGCAAAACCAGCAAGTTTTTATTAGTGATTTTCAAAGGAGAGGGAGTGTATGAATAGGGTGTGGGTCACAGAGACCACATGCTTCACAAGGTAATAAAATATTACAAGACAAATGGAGGCAGGGCACGATCACAGGACTGGGGCAAAATTAAAATTGCTAATGAAGTTTCAGGCACACATTGTCATTGATAACATCGTATCAGGAGACAGGGTTTGAGAGCAGACAACTGGTCTGACTAAAATTTACTTAGGTGGGAATTTCCTCATCCTAATAGGCCTGGGAGCGCTACGGGAGACCGGGGATTATTTCATCCCTTATCTGCAACCATAAAAGACAGACATTCCCAGAGCAGCCATTTTAGAGACCTATCCCTGGCAATGCATTCTCTTTCTCAGGGCTGTTCCTTGCTGAGAAAAAGAATTCAGTGATAGTTCTCCTATTTGCTTTTGAAAGAAGAGAAATATGGCTCTGTTTCGCCCAGCTCTCAGGCAGCCAGACCTAATGGTTATCTCCCTTGTTCCCTGAACATCGCTGTTATCCTGTTCTTTTTTCAAAGTGCCCAGATTTTATATTGTTTAAACAATTTGTGCAGTTAATGCAATCATCACAGGGTCCTGAGGCAACATACATCCTCAGCTTACAAAGATGACAGGATTAAGATTTAAAGTAAAGACAGGCATAGGAAATCACAAGAGTATTGACTGAGGAAGTGATAAATGTCCATGAAATTTTCACAGTTTATGTTCAGAGTTTGCAGTAAAGACAGGCGTAAGAAATTATAAAAGTATTAATTTGGGGAACTAATAAATGTCCATGAAACCTTCACAATTTGTGTTCTTCTGTCATGGCTTCAGCCGGTCCCTCCATTCGAGGTTCCTGACTTCCCACAACACCCTTCCTATCATGCATCCAGTGAGTGCTACCTGCCAATATTAGGGACATTCCTCCGGTTTTGCCATTAGTGTTTAAAGAGCTAATGAATTACTGTGAATTACTTGTTACACTGTTTCTTAGAAAAACATAATAGAAAGGTTTTGTTGTTGTTTTTTGTTTATTTCATAGCGATTAAAAATAAATAAATCTCCTATGTAGAAAATGTAATTATGTCTGCAGTCTGCCAGAGTGATTACTTAAGATTTGTCATAATAATTAGTTCTTCTCATTTTATTTACTCAATACAACTTTTAAAATACTTACTACCTTCTTACAGATGGTTAATAGTGAAAGATTCCTTTTTACTGTATATGAAACCAGACAGCGGTGCCATTGCCTTCGTCCTGCTGGTAGACAAAGAATTCAAAATTAAGGTGGGGAAGAAGGAGACAGAAACGAAATATGGAATCCGAATTGATAATCTTTCAAGGTACAAGTTTCAAATATTTAAAAAAGATTTCTACAAAAATATCTTAAAAACAATTTTTTCCTTAACCTTAAGTAAAAAAGGAGTTTAAAAAGGGTTAGAAAATTGTAATTTAGAGCTCATCCTCAATCAATGTAATGAAACCACTTTTTTCCTTGTATATATTTTAAAGAGTATCCTGTGTGCAACAGAGTCAGAATAAACAATCGCATATGTAGATGTTTGCCTATGTTAACAGAAATTACTACTCAATTTGCCAGTTTACTAAACAGATAGATTAGAGCTATAGTTCACATTTTTAAAATAAATGAAACCTTTACTTTGTAAATCAATATTCTTTAATTAACAAAACACCAAAAGAGTGATTTGATTTATAAAAATTGTTACACACATATTTTAAGAAAGATACCTTCTTTTTCTCTGAGACAGGGTCTCACTCTGTCACCCAGGCTGAAGTGCAGTGGCGCAATCTCTGCTCACTGCAACCTTCACTCACTGCAGCCTCCATCTTTCAGGTTCAAGCGATTCTCCCACTTCAGCCTACCAAGCAGCTGGGACTACAGGCGCCCGCTGCCACACCCGACTAAATTTTGTATTTTTTGGTAGAGACGGAGTTTCACCATGTTTGCCAGGCTGGTGTCGAACTCCTGACCTCAAGTGATCTGCCTGCCTCGGCCTTCCAAAGTGCTGGGATAACAGGCCTGAGCCATCCCACCTGGCCAAGAAAGATATCTTGAAAGGACACTCATGCACATTTATTTATTATAGATTTTATTAGTGAGTACATGTGTATGTGATCTTTCTGGAAGATTGTAGTTATATCATGTATGTGTGTCTTTATATGTATATATCCATTTGTCTCTATATAGTTCATTCACCATCATGTATATGAATATATATGCATTTCTCCCTGTACACATACACAACATAGCTTCATAATCCCTTACTAATTTACATGTTTTTGTGTGTGTGTGTGTGTGTGTGTGTGTGTGTGTGTGTGTGTGTATAAAAAGATGCTGAACTTCCTGATGATATTCTATGAGAATGGAACATTTAAGATTGTGACTGGAAATATAATGGTGCTGCCATTACACCTTCCTCCTGCATTCCTGTTTTACAGTGAGCCACAGAAGTCTGGCCACAGTTCTCATTGGTCCATTACTTTATTGGCCACTTCATCTGCATTTCCCACCCTCGCTTACTCGTATGTCAATGCCAAATGAGGCCATTCACATCCAGGTTTCATTACCTTCCTTCCTGGTGTAAGATCCCCCCATGATTTTATCAAATAAGGCCAAATTTCCCCACTTACTTTTGAAGGGCATTTATTTTCCTGCGTTTATTTGAAATTCCTCCCTAATGTGCCTTGCAGGTTCTATGGAGGCAGCATTTTTTTCTTGCCTCTTTCCCTTTGCTTTTCTTATGTCCATGGTTGGAATAGTTCTTTTTTTCCCCCTTGATTCTGACTTACATCCTGTAATAATGTCTTATCTTGTTACTTGTATCTCCTGTAAAGTCATCTCGTAACTGTTTTTCAGAGGCTTTTTAGCTCAATTGGAGTAGTGCTTGCAGGATGGGTCAAGCCCAGGCACCTCCTGTGCCCTCTTGTCTCCATCCCTAGAAACCCATGCCTCCTTTACCACACATGATGGGGATGCTTCACTCCTCTCAGCTCCACCATGTCTCTCCTCCCCTGTCTCCACAGCCCAGCAGCAGCAGCCTCCCCCTGGCTTCATGACTTTCAGACAAAAGCCAGCATCTACCTCTGACATATTGAGGAAAGCAGTTTGGACATGGTTAATCTTTATAAATAATTCTTTTAGAATCTGTGAACACAGCCCCCTTCCCTGCTTCTCATCAGGATCATTGCATTTCCTCAAAAAAGCAACCTCCCTCCTCACCCATAGTCTTCTTACATTGGGATGGTGGTAGATTTCTGCCTACATGGCAGGGATACAGCTGGCTCCAACACTCTGTTTTCCTTCAAACTTCAAATTTGGATAACTTATGTTTTCCCTCTTAGTAGTAGGCAGAATTCTGACACTTGGCATTAAGAAAAAAACTTTCTGGAATCCACTCTGAATTTTTTTTTTTTTTTTTTTAGCATTTATAACTCTGTACGAGTTTAGGATCGTTTAGTTGTGAGTGACAGAAAAATCTAAAGCAAACTGGCTTATACCAAAGAGAACTTATCAGCCATGTTGAGCGTGACTGATTCCCTTGTGGTAGCAAGATGGCCACCTCCCACACTCACACCAAATTCTGTGGAAGCAAGAGAGTCCCTCCTGGCATTCCTGAGCAAGTCCTCACATTTGCTCAGGAATGGCTGAAAGGAGGTTATAGGAATGGATGAACAAATGTACATGAGTATCCTTTTTTTTCTGATATCAATATGTTTAATTGATTATTATTGCAAAAGAACAGTTTTCCTGGCCAGGTGCGGTAGCTCACGCCTGTAATCCCAGCACTTTGGGAGGCCAAGGTGGGCAGATCACAAAGTCAGGAGTTTGAGACCAGCCTGGCCAATATGGTGAAACCCTGTCGCTACTAAAAATACAAAAATTAGCCGGGCATGGTGGTGCTTGCCTGTAGTCCGAGCTACTTGCGAGGCTGAGGCAGTAGAACTGCTTGAACCCAGGAGGCAGAGGTTGCAATGAGCCGAGATTGCCCCACTGCACTCCAGCCTGGTGACAGAACAAGACTCCATCTCAAAAAAAAAAAAAAAAAAAAAAAGCCAGCACGGTGACTCTTGTCTGTAATCCCAGCACTTTGGGAGGCCAAGGCAGGCAGATCACCTGAGGTTTGGGAGTTCAAGACCAGCCTGACCAACATGGAGAAACCCTGTCTCTACTAAAAATACAAAATTAGCTGGGAGTGGAGGTGCATGCCTGTAATCTCAGCTACTTGGGAGGCTGAGACAGGAGAATCACTTGAACCCCGGAGGTGGAGGTTGCAGTGAGCCGAGATCATGCCATTGCACTCCAGCCTGGGCAACAAGAGCAAAACTCCGTCTCAAAAAACAAAACAAACAAACAAACAAACAAAAAAGAACAGTTTTCCTACGATTAATGAAACAGAAAATGCACAACATATTCATGCCAGAACCACCTTCTGGGACCAGGAAGATGGAATATGCCATTTTGCTTAGCTTTGTTGAAGAGAAGGGATGGCTGTCATGAAGCACAATTGGGATGGTATTTCCAGAAGCTGAGGGAATGGATACTAGAGGGCACAAAGGGAAGTGTCCTCTAGAGCAGAGATCCCCAACCCCCTCGGGGTGCCAGTCCATGGCCTATTCAGAACTGGGCCGCACAGCAGGAGGTGAGCAGTGGGCAAGGGAGCATTACCACCTGAGTTGCAGTCTCCTGTCAGATCAGCCACAGCATCAGATTCTCACAGGAGCCTGAACCCTATTGTGGATTGCACATGGCGCGGGATCTGGGCTGCACGCTCCTCATGAGAATCATGTCACCTTGTGATGACCTGAGGTGGAACAGTTTCATCTCGAAACTACCCCCCATCATCTGTGGAAAAATTGCCTTCCACAAGCCTGTCCCCAGTGCCAAAAAAAGTTGGGGACCACTGCTCTACAGGAGCCAACAGCTCTCTAACACTTAAAAGTAGATCCTCACCTTACCCCTCTTTCTTTATCCTCCTCATGGCCTAGCACGCAGCTCTAGGTCTATGGTAAGTATCTTTATGCATGTTTGCATGAGTTAATGAATAAGTAACCTGAACATTTATTTTTGTTATATTGAATATATTTCTAGAAATACTACCAAAAAATGTTAAATGCCTGCTTTCTTCATGTTCTTTGTCTAAAATTTTCAGTTTATGTTTGGTATACTACCAAATAAAAAAGAGCATGAGATAGAACAGAGTGACTACTCTTTTCAACTTTCTGCTTTCTCTTTAAAGGACACTTATTTTAAAATGCAACAGCTATAGACATGCTCGCTGGTGGGGAGGGGCTATAGAAGAATTCATCCTCAAAGATCATCGATTTGGGTCATATGCTGCTATCCAAGAGAATGCTTTAGCTAAATGGTAAGTTAGTTATTATTGCTCTAAGCCTGCCAAGGCGGTCCTAGCATCTAATATTACACTGTCCTAAATTCACCTGGAATCAATTTTCAAAACTGTGAAAGATTATGCATTATACTTAACAAGGCTTCTCTTTTTGTGATAATTATAGGACTACCTGATTATATATTAGTTTTTCAATTGTTGCTTTTAAGATTTTTCATGGTGAACTTAGCTAGCTTTAGAGTTTGAAGTTTGAATTTTAAAGCTAATTTCATACATTTCTTTAACGATGCAAATGGAAGGTTTATTTAAGTCATTAGCCCTAATTTAGGAAAAAGCATTTACTTGCTAGATATTTCTTTTAAATAAAGTCACGCTTAGCATGTTTTTCTACCCGTGGATTGGAAGCTAATTTGTTTTCAGTCTCAGAAGAAAAACTGTATGTAAGTTCAACAGGATAGGAGAATTCATCTGGCTCCTTATGATGATGAGGCTCAATAAATTTGTTGTTCTCTAAGCAGAGAAAAATCAGGCTGCTTACCACTTACTGCCCTTCCTAGGCAGCAGAGGAAACTTGGTATTTTCAATCCTTGTTTTGCAGGTACACAAAGTCAATGATGATTGTGTGTTATGTGGAGACTCTAGGCAGTGGCTTCCATGTTTTGCTTTACCATAAGATAAGTTTCTTTTCTTTTCTTTTTTAATAACAAAAAGGAACAATAAACTTGTCTTTCAGGTATGTTAATGCCAAAGGATATTTTGAAGATGTGGCAAATGCAATGGAAGAGGCAAATGAAGAGATTTTTATCACAGATTGGTGGTTAGTATTTGTCCCTGGGAATTTTTTCTGGAAGTTTCTATGTTTAGAAATGTACAGTGGTATAGTGCTGTTCAAGAATTACACATATGAAAATCAGCAGTATCTATGGATGGTTTGGCCAGAGTCTCAACCAATTGACTAAGCCTTCAGTGAAAGGCCTTTTCAAAAACCTTGGCCTCAGCAATATTCATAAAATACTTAGTTTGAACAATTAGGTTTTATATTTGCATTTGGAAGCAGACTTCCATGTGTTCATGTCAGTAAAGATTATGCTGTAATGCAAGTCCACTTACAGAAGTAATGGTGTCTTTGGGTGTCTTTTTCTAATTTTGGTATGTCTGTCATGAGGGCCAGTGAGTATACTTCTTCTAAATTGTCACTTTGATGTTGAAATAGTTCCACTTGCCTGTTACTGTAAAAATATCCTCTGTAATGACTAGGCCTCGTCAGCTGTTCTAGAGATACATCCGGTTTCAACTTTGTGACCACCTTAAAAAAGTGTCCATAAGAGTTGCTATGCTTATTAAAGTCACCAGAAGCCTCATATCTGAAACTCATTTAGCTCTTGGGAAATTTACTCCTGTAGTTGGTGTAGGCATTCTAGTCTGACTTCAGTTCCAATCATTTATCTGCCTGGAAAGCTAAAACCCATTACACATGCTAACACTGGCTATGATGGAAATGAAAATGTCTAAAATGTGTTTTCCTTCTAGGAACTTATTAGTAGTTGCCTGAATTGCCCCTTATCCAGTTTTCTTCCAAAAGGTACCTTACATGAACTGTTAATATATCATCATAATTTATTCCCTTCTAATTCTAGGTTTTGTGGGCAATATCAATATCTAATTCAAGAATGGGAACACATCTTTTGTTTCAGTTGTCTGGAAATCTATAATGCTAAGGCATGCTTTCTTAACCTTGGCCCTGTTGACATTTGGGGCCAGATAATTCTTTGTTGCAGGGGGCTCTCCTATGCATTGTAGGATGTTTAGTGACATCCGCTAGCTACCAGTAGTAAGTTCCCAGTTGTGACCACCAAAATATCTTCATCCATTGCTAGATGTTCCCTGGTTGGGGTTGGGAGAGGATGCAAGATCCCTGTCAGCTGGGAATCACTGATCTAGAGGGGATAGACGGGGTATGTGGTGGCCAGCATGTTCATGCTTGTGGAGGAGTTTAATTCTGGTCTTTCTATTCTTGCCAAATTTTCTCTTTTCAGTCAGTTACCAGGAAGAAAAAATGTCTCATACTTAGGAGCTATTTATTTGGTTGAATATTTTATAAACACTTGTGATAATAAATTTGTGCCAGTGAGTACTATATTCTTTAAAAAAATATTTCTGAAAGTTTCGTGAAGATGTGAGAGACTAAAAATAATTTTTCCATTGAGTCTAGATTTTCGTGCTTTGTATCTGAACACCAAAACTTTTTTAACTTTTAAATTCAGGGGTACAATTACAGGTTTGTTAAATAGGTAAACTTGTAGCATGGGAATTTGTTGTATGGATTATTTTATCACCCAGGTGTTAAGTCTAGTACCCACTAGTTATTTTTCCTGATCCTCTCCCTCTACCCTTGAAAGGCCCTAGTGTGTGCTGTTCCCTTGTACGTGTCCATGTGTTCTCATCATTTAGCTTCCACTTATAAGTGAGAACATGTTGTATTTGGTTTTCTGTTCCTGTGTTAGTTTGCTAAGGATAATGGCCTTCAGCTCCATCCATGTTGCTGCAAAGGACATGATCTCATTCTTTTTCATGGCTGCATTGTATTCTGTGGTGTATATGTGCCACATTTTCTTTATCTAGTCTACCATTGATGGTCATTTAGGTTGATTCAATTAAACATTGTATACAGAGATGGAACCCTGAATGTTGTCCTCTCTACTTTCAGCAAGAGAATGAATTGGGAGGTTATTTATTTTTTCATGACTGCACTAGGATACCATTTTATTACAACACATCATTAGAAATAAAACCTTCACAGTAACTTCTCTCAAACAAGTAAAGAAAATTCTTGCTGTACAAGCATATTCCAAAAGGAGCATTCAGAAACTTAACCAAACCCTAATATGCGTAGACCTGAGAGACTGGGGTTATCTACCACAGTCTCTGTATGGAGTCTGTATGTTAAATGTGTCAGAAATAGGATTAAGAAAACAGGAGAATACAAAAGAAAAATCAATGAACAGAGATTTTTAAAAGAGGGATTTTGTAAAGGGTAGAGAAACAGAAGAGACAAAGGTTGAGCTGGAGACAAAGGTTATAAAGAAAATAAATCAGCATTGCATTACTAACTGGCTCGCAAACAGAGACTATTCTAGGTAAAAGAATACATGTTTTCAATGTATTTAAGTTGGTTTTAAATGCAACTTTCTTTAAGTTGGTTTCAATATTGTTAGTGTTTTTCAAATGATGGGTTGAGCCTCTTTGGTAATTGTTTGTTAAAATAATTTAGTATATTGTGACCAGTATTTTTTTTTTTTAAAGAATGGCATAGGATAGGATAAAGAAGGGAAGGGAAAAGAAAGGAAGGGTACAATGTAAGTGGTAATAAGGGCTACTAATTTTGGAAACTTTTATTTCGGTTGTAGATAGATAGATAGATAGATAAACAGACAGACTGATCGACCGGCTGTTGGTTTGGGGTATAATGTATTTCTGTCTGCAGTTTATGGTCCAAAAGTTTAAAAGTTTGAAAGCCACTGACTTTCAAAAATGGTTAGTAAACTTTTTCCTTAAAGAGCCAGAGAGTAAATATTTTTTTAAGGTTTTCAAATCATGTACGGTGTCTGAAGCATATTTTTTTTTACAACTCTTTAAAAATATAAAAACCATTCTTAGCTCACAGGCCATGCTAAAACAGTCTATGGGCAACATTTGACTTGTGAGCTATAGTTTGTTGACACCTATCTTAGAAGATAGACTTAATTCACCACATTTTATCAATGCTAAGAGCTAAATGTAGTGTTTTTCGAAGTTGTACCATTTTACATTTTCACCAGCAATGTATGAGAGTTACAATTCTTCCACATAATTGCTAGTCCTTGGTGTTGTCAGTCGTTATTTCAAAGGGTATACAATAGTGTTTTATTATGATTTTAGCTTGTGTCAGGAACATCATTTCACATTGAGCAAATTTTCATGTGCTATTTGGACATTTGTTTAACTGTTCAAATTTTTTCCCTTTTTTTGAGAGGGAGATGTTGTCAGTCTTCTTGTTTAGTTGTAAGAGGTATTTGTACATGCTAGTTAAAGTGGTTGTCCCATTTCACTCTGGCCTCCATTCTTTCTGTTGAGAAATTCTCTGTCACTTGAATAGATTGTTCCCCTCTAAGTAATGTGTTATTTTTCCTCTGAGTGGTTTCAATATTTTCCTTCTGTCTTTAGTTTTCAGCAGTTTGGTTATGATGTTTGTGTTTATCCTATTTGGGGTTCTCTGAGGTTCCTAAATCTGTAGTTTTATATCTTTGCCAAATTTAAGAAATTGTTAGCCATTATTTCTTTACACATTTTTTCTGAACTTTCCTCTTTCTCTCCTCTTTCTGAATCTCCAGTGACACAAATAGTGTCTTATTTATTTGTCAAATTCATTGACTCTTTCCTCTATGACAGGGTCCCCAACCTCCAAACCAAACCAGTCTCCAGACTGTTAGGAACCAGGCCACACAGCAGATGAGCCGGAGGTTGTAGGGGGAGGTAGTGAGCATGAGAATTACTGCCTGAGCTCCGCCTCCTGTCAGATCAGCCGGGGCGTTAGATTCTCCTAGGAACATGAACCCTATTGTGAACTATGCATGTGAGGGATCTAGGCTGCCTGCTCCTTATGAGAGTCTATATAGTGCCTGCTGGCCTATCTGAGGTGCAACAGTTTCATCCAGAAATTATCCTTCCCCCTCATTCCCACCCATGGAAAAATTGTCTTCCATGAAACCGGTTTCTGGTGCCAAAAAGGTTGAGAACTGCTGCTCTATGATCTCCATTCTGGTATGGAGCCTATCCTGTGAGGTTTGGGGGATTTATTGTTTGCTTTTGTTTTTCTAGTGTTTTTGGTAATTGTGTTTTTCACTTTGAAAATTTTTGTTTGGTCCTTCTCTATATCTTTTTCTGTAAGACTTTTTTTGTCTTTTCATTTTAGGAGTGTTCACCCTTACTTAGAGCATTTTTATAATATCTGACATAGCCTTAAGTAGGTAATTTCAATATCCACATTGTCTTGATATTGACATCTGCTGATTCCCTTTTCCATACAAGGTTAAGATTTTTTTTTTTTTCGTTCTGGTTCTTTGTGTGCCGGGTACTTGTACTGTATTCTAGAAAATTTTATTATTATGTTATAAGACTCTGAGTCTTGTTTGGATCCTGTGGAGAATGTTAGTATTTTTGTGTTAGCGGGCAATTTACCAATTTCAGTTCAGGCTTAAAGTTCCAACCAGCCTTTTATGAGTGTTGTTTTAATGTCGGTTTTGTTGTTAATGCCTTTGCGGTGCTATTCAGATCTGTCCCATATGCTTGCCACCTAGTGGCCAGTCTGAGACTTGGATGGTGGTCTGTTCCTCAGTTCAGTTCTCAGCCTCTTTGGTGTGATGTTTAGGATGAAATCCATGCATAGACAGCTTGGGAGTGAGCCAGAAAATCAGAAACAACTTTATGGAGCTGCTTTTCTGAGCTCCTCTCCCCTGTTTTTAGTTTCCCATGGCTTCCCTTTTTAGCCTTCTAGCCTGAAAGATGGGTTTTTATTTACTGTGCTCTGCCATGTGCTTTCTCTGATGGCACCCATGTCCAGAGCCAAGCCAGGCGTATTTACATCACCATTGGTGAGGAAATTTCCCCTGCCTCAGAAGTTTTAGTACCTTTGGGCTCTCCACTGCAGCCCTGTCACTACCAGAGATCCTTTTCATTCTCCCCAAGCCTGAACTAGAGGATTTTTGAACTTCTCTCTGTGCCGATGCCTGTTTCCAAGTTTTCCCTCCAAGTCAAGGAATCAAAGGGGGAAAAATTGTTAAACTTATCACTGGCTAGGTGGTACTTCAAATTCTGTTCTTCTTTTTCTCTATTGAGGCTTCCACTTATTTAGCTCTTATGTAATTTTTCTCAGCAATATTTTGTATTTTTCTAGCTATAGGTCTTATACATATTTTGTTAAAATTTTCACTGAGTATTTTATGTTTTTTGATATTATTGTAAATGATATTTTAAAATTCATTTTCCATACAGAACTAGAAATGCAATTGATTTTTGTGTATTTACCTTATAGCTTGTGACCTTGCTAAATTAATTTATTAGTGCTAGTAGCTTTTTTGTAGATTGCTTAGGATTGTCCTGTAATGATTATATGATCTATGAATAAAGACAGTTTTACTTCTTCTCTTCTAATCTGTATGCTTTATATTTTATTTTCTTGCGTGTTGCATTGGCTAGTTATCACCAGTAAAATGTTGAATGAAAGTGGTGAGAATGAACATCTATGCCCTGTTTCTAATCTTCAGAGGAAGACATGCAGTTGTGTTATATTATGAATGATGTTAGAGATAGATTTTTTATAGGTACCCTTTATTACACTGAGGAAGTTTTTTTCTATTTCTAACTTGTTGGGAGTATTTATTGTTAATGGATATTGAATTTCTTCATTTCTTCTGCATTTGTTGAAATAATAATATTTTTCTCCTTTTTGTTGTTACTGTGGTGAATTACATTGATTGATTACCAACTTTTAAACCAACTTTGTATCTTAGGATAATCCCACTTGATCATTATTTTTGTAAGTTGCTGTGTTTTTGGTAAATATTTTTACTTCTGTGATCATAAGGGATGTTCTTTAGTTTTCTTTTCTTGCATTGTCTTTATTTGGTTTTAGTATGAGGAGAATGCTGACCTCATTAAATAAGATAGTGAGTGTTCCCTCCTTTGTTTATTGGAAGAATTTAGGTAGTACTAACATCATTTCTTTCTTAAATATTTGGTAAAATTCAAATATTTAATAAATTCTGTAAAGTTGGCAGAGTCTGTAGTTTTCCCTTTGGGAAAGTTTTAATTACAGATTCAGTTTTTCAGTAGCTATGAAGTCAGTATCAATTTCTTTTTATTTTCATTATGAAAATATTTTATTCAAGGAATATGTTTATTTTATTTAAATTACCACAAATATTGGCATACAGTTATTTTTAATAGTTATTGTTCATTTAATATAATTTAATGCCTCTAGGCCCTATAGTGATTCCCTATCTTTCGCTCTTTTTTTTTTTTTTTTTTTTGAGACAGGGTCTTCTTCTGTTGCCCAGGTTGAAGTGCATTGACATGATGATGGCTCACTGCAGCTTCAACCTTCTAGGTTTAAGCAATCCTCCTACCTCAGCCCCCTGAGTAGCTGGAACTACAGACATAAACCAACATGCCTGGCTAATTTTTTAAATTTTTTCATAGAGACAGGGTCTTACTATGTTTCCCAGGCTGGTCTCAAACTCCTGTGCTTACGTAGTCCTCCCATTTTAGCCTCTCAAAGTGCTGGGATTATAGATGTGAGCCCATCCTTTCAATCATTTTTTTGTCATGTTTTTTAGCCTTGCTAGAAATTCACAAATTTTATTGATATTTCAAAGAGTCAGCATCTAGTTTCATTGAATTTTCTCTGTGTTTTTTCAGTTTTATATTTCATCAAGTTCTGCTCTTATATTTATTATTCCCTCATCTTCTTGCTTTGGGTTTAATATCTTCTTTTTCTGTCTTTTAAAAATGGAAAGTCTGATCAATAATTTTTAATTTTTTGTTTTTCTCATGTAAGCATTTAAAGTAATTAAATCTTCTAAGTGGTACACTTAGAGGTATGTTTTAACATCTCTGAAATCAGGAAGCATCTTACGCTCTTACAGTTACAGTTGTCATGATTTTTTCTTTCTTAGTGGTACATGCAGTAACGATGCATCCTACAATCACTGGTGTCCTAGGTTCAATTAAATGTAATATTAAACAATAACTTTGTTTACAAGTGAGTAAAGATCCTTACATAATAATGCTTGGTAAGTTATAGCTGCTTTCTTCTTGCTGTGCAGCCATGGTTTATACTTTGTTTACACCATGATATAACAAAATCTTTTTTTCTTTTTATGTGTTATCCTCAAAATTGAGGGCTCCTTGAGAGCTATCTTAAGATTCTTCAACGTATCTAGTGGAATGCTCAGCATACAAGAGTACACATGTTTGTGGATTAAATGAAATAAATGATGATAAAGACTTAATTGCAGAGTATAACATTAAAAGTCTCCCGCAAACTGAGGCTCTTTGAGCCCATATTTAATGTATACATCAAAAAATTGCAATTGTGTATATGTTGTTGGATATCTCTCATTTTTGGTGAACTAGCAGTGGACAGCAATGTATTTTACTATTTTAAAGCAGATTTCTTTTTAATGCTTCTTTGATCTTTTCTGATCAATTGCTGTGCTTTATTTGTTTGTTTGCTTGTTTGGACATAGATTACTTTTGAGTTTGTTCCCTACTCTAAATTAAATATACAAGTACTTACACTGTCCAAACTCTCCATTTGTCTGTTTCCTTATTTATTTTACCCAATAACGTTTCCTTTAGAACCTTTATCTCTGGGTTTTTATTTTCTTTAACTGAATGAAATAGAGCATAACATTGATTTCTTTTAATCTCTTTACCTCCTTGAAGCACTGTTGATTTCACATGCTTAGAGGACTCCCTGGGAGGGCAATACTCCAGTGCAGAACTCCATAAGACTTTTATCTTGACATAGTCTACCCCTGCTTCCTCAGGTCTAGCAGTTCAGTGAAGAAAGGAATATTTCCTGCTGCTTCTTTTTTCTAACAACAGGGAAGTTACAGCATGTACATATTTAACTCAGAAACTAACTTTAGAACCCAGCCCCAGGGGAAAAATGACTCTATTGTACTCTTAGCTGCCTTGCGAAGCTTAGCTTACCTTAGCCGCCTTCTGCCTTACTGAAGGAGAAGAGCCTAGGAAGAATTTCATATGTCAGCCGACCTTCCTTCTCCCCTGTCCAGAAAGCCCAAGGTTCCCTCAGACGCTGCTTCTTTGTGTATAGGAAGTCAGTGTGTCTGGGTATCCATTAGAACGCTTTTAGTTTGGGGTAACAGAATGTTCAACTAAAGACGGCTTAAACACTGAGGATTTATTTTTCACATTTAATGTTAGTCTAAAGTTGGGCAATTCTGAGGTTGGCAGAGTGGTCTAGTGATTCTGGGGTTATGGTCTTCCCCTTAGAATTTCAATATTGCTGCACCTCTGTAAGCATCATACTCCCATACGACATCCATCCTAAAGCTGGAAGTGTGGGCAGGCTTTCTCCGAGAGAGGGAGAGAGAGCGAAAGAGAGGGACGGGGAGAGAGAGAGAGAGTGTGTGTATTTGTGTGCGTGTTTCAGGGAGGAAAAACTTTCCCATTAAGCCCCTGTGTACCTCCTCATATATCTCATTGTTCAGGATTGTGTCACGTTGTGCTCTAGCTGCACAGGAGTCGGGGAAAGCAAGTATCTAGAATATTCAGAGTCTGTGGTGGGAGAGAGGCTCTGACAGCAGGGAAGAAGTTGGAGATTGTTGGTGGGCAACCAACAGTATCTGCCTGTGTGCATAGCTGTGCATGTGGGTACGAGACAGAGAAAGAGAGGGGGAGAGAGAGAGAGAGATATACTAAGATTGATGTTTTGTATGGCTAAAGGCTATTTTTCCCATATGAAGTTATACTTAGACTCATAGTATTAGTTATTATACCTAGACTCATAGTATTAGTTATATATTAGACTCATAGACTCATACCTAGACTCATAAAGCTTTGGATTACCTACCACAATAGAGGATGATAATGGCATTTGGGCTGAAATTGCCTTTGCTTCCTATGACACAATCAGAACTTTATATTTTGTTTTAGTTACTTGAAATCTTGGTTTCATTATTTCAGGCTGAGTCCAGAAATCTTCCTGAAACGCCCGGTGGTTGAGGGAAATCGTTGGAGGTTGGACTGCATTCTTAAACGAAAAGCAGTATGTACTTTCCCAGAAAATGCTGATATAATTTTTTAACTGTCTGTTGTCTCTGAAATGCTTTTCTTTTCAAAGCCTTTCACACGTATAACTTTTCACTTTAGAGTTTGACAAAAAGTAGGATAACTAATGTTTTTCAGTTCATTTGGTTCTATTTTTTTCCTATTGCTTTTGAGTGCATAAATATTTTAGACTAATTCACAGCATGGATTATGTTAGCATCTCTAATTTTTATTTTTGAATTAGTTATGGGCAGTTAATTTTATAGGCAAAAAAGTTATAATAAAATTTCATCATTGAATAATAAATGATTAAATGGAGCATAACATTAATTGTATCATTATTTTGTCATTTAAGCAAAAGAAAAACTCATCTGGAGAATGGTTTCAGCTAGATGGGGCTAACATGGTGTAGAATAATATTAAAGGGGGAGGAATAGTCACAGTTGGTGGTGTTTTTGCTCTAGTTTTGGTAAAGTTCATGGTAATAATGTGAACTGTTTCCTGTAGAGTTGACCCTGTACATTCTGGGTGAACATTGAGTGTGTGCTTTTTAGGTATAAAACGTAAATAACTGAAGCAGTCTAGGCTCACTAATGACTGCATTGGTATTTCTAGTGATTTTTTAATGTAATAGGCCCTCAACAAAATTAAATCAGTTTAAATTAAAGATAGACCTGGATTTATTATTTAGCATGTCCAAATTGGAAAGTGCTAACTTTTTGCTGTTATCAGAAACTGTCTTAACCTTTTTTTTTTTTTTTGAGATGGAGTTTTGTTTTTGTTGCCTAGGCTGGAGTGAAATGGTGCGGTCTCAGCTCACTGCAACCTCTACCTCCCAGCTTTAAGCAATTCTCCTGCCTCAGCCTCCCAAGTAGCTGGGAGACAAGTGCCTGCCACCACACCTGGCTTTTTTTTTTTATTTTTAGTAGAGACGGGGTTTCACCATGTTGGCCAGGCTGATCTTGAACTCCTGATCTCAGGTGATCTGCCCACCTCGGCTTCCCAAAGTGCTGGGATTACAGATGTGAGCCATTGCTCCTGGCCAACCTTTTTTTATTCTATCATTAAATATGCTAGCAGAACATGTAGAGCCTAAATAATTGAGGTTAGCATTTTTCTGTTTCTCATACCCTTCACTCATTTCTTCTTTCCTATCCTCTACATTTCACTTTTTCTTTCCCCATTCCCTTTCCCCTTTTCTCTCTGTATCTTTTCCCCATGCATTTACTTGAGTATTTCTGGGGATATCCACAAATATAGTCAGACCTCTCTGCTAATATTGAAAGCAAAAGAAATTGATAATATTTATTTGAAACACATTCTGCCAAACAACATCATTTTGATGGATAGTCTAGTTTGTTTCATCAATAGAATTCCAGTTACAGAATTGGACATTTTGATTCTGAAAACATTATTCACATATTTATTAAATAATTCATCATACAGTTACTGTCTCCTATGAGCCGGCTTCTATGGTAATCACTAAGAATGCCACCATGAATTGGATTTGAGCCTTGACAGTGGAGAACTTGCTGAGGGAGGGACTCATGTCTTGAGCTCAGTCCTAGCCTTACCAGACTACTTTCTACCTATTGAATGGGCAGCAACTTTCTCTATGTTTCTCTCAATTAAATGGCATCTTTACCATTTTCCCTCAAGATTCTGTTTTAGTACATTTTTCCAGCCTTGCCTAGCAATCTGTACTAATACTAGTAAGTTTTTTGCTTATAATATGTAATCAACACTTCACTGTTTTAGGTTTCCATCAATATGTATTTATTGAATGTTTTCTATGTGCAGGTCATTTGGCTAATCATATGAGGATGTACGTAAATAAAAGCTATTGTTCTTAAGTTGAGGGAGCTTATAAAATCTACAGAAGTGTCAGTTGCATACAGAAAAAATGCCTCGATTTTATGGCAAGAGGGAAAGCACTGGGCTTTCCCAATGGAAAAGGTCCAGTTGGGGAGCCCCTCACAACATGAAGGATGTGGGGCATTTAGGATGGACAAACATTTTTAAAAGGGAAAGAAGAACTTTCTGGGTGTAGTAAATGTAAACAGCAGTGCCAAAGACTTTGTCAGGCACAGCAGGGTGGTTAATCCCATCTGAGTGTTAGCATAGCCGGATGGGGGATTAAGCTGGAACTGCTCATTGCAGCTAGGATGCAGAGGCTTTGTGAGCCAAGCTAGTGGTTTGACTTTATGGGAGACAGTGGAGGCAGTACTGTGCGGGACAGAGCAGTGTGGGGAAGCAGGGGTGGTCTGATCGAAATGATGTGTCAGACCCCGTCTCTACTAAACATACCAAAAATTAGCCGGGTGTGGTGGCGGGCGCCTGTAGTCCCAGCTACTCGGGGGGCTGAGGCAGAAGAATGGTGTGAACCTGGGAGGTGGAGCTTGCAGTGAGCTGAGATCACGCCACTGCACTCCAGCTTGGGCAACAGAGCAAGACTCCGTCTCAAAAATAAAAATAAATAAATAAATAAATAAATAAACAAATAAGATGTGTTGGGAAGGTGATTCTGATAGTGGAAGAAAGTGGGAAGAACTCTGATTCAGAAAGCTAAAGTTTAGATCACTTGAAGGTACAGTGTCTACAGGACATCTAAGTTAACTTGAGAAAGCTAGTAAATGCCTCGGCAGGGCTCTGGAGGAAGATCCTGCAGGCCTGGCTTCCACCTCTTGTTTGCTGGCATGCGCTTGTTTATTGCCCTCAGCATACCTGTTTGGTTACCTTTTCTGTCTCTAGCGTGACTTCTCTTTACTTTTATGGCCCATGAACCCTGGTGAGGTCCCTTGTGAACACCATGGCCAAATAAACGTTATTGTCTGAAAACAGTGCTTCATTTCCATTTCATCCACTTCTTGGAGCTTGTAGTTTTTAAATTGTGGGTAATGATATTTTAAATTTCCTAAAGAAATAGTAATACAATTAAAGATTGATTTCTCGGTGGTACATTTAGTGGAGTTGCTCTTCGTTAATCTCCTTCCACCATATTATTACTTTTTACTCATATTTACTGAGTGTTAAATTTTTTACCACTCAGATCATTCCAAATTGACATTTTATATGCACATAAATACGGCTTCACATAAATAAATTAGTTTCTGAAAGCCACACACTAGCTTTGCAAAGTACGAGGTTGAAACATAATGTTTGTTTTTTGCATTAACAGGTCCCAGAGGTCCACAAGATTTATTAAAATGAATGTCTTATTTTCTTCTATCTGATTGTGCAGAATTTCTGAGAGGAATTTAGAAACTGTCTCTGCCTCATAGCCAACCTATGGCAAACATCTCTTATGATGGCTATTTTTTAAGAAAAAAATACAATATTTTATTTATCTGGTTAATAACCAAGTTGAACTTTTCCTATTTCTTTGGCCTTCTGATCTGCAATGCCATCACTTAAAATAAAAGCCAATCTTGAGAGGCAGACTGTTCACAACTCAAAGAAATCAGCATTTCAGGGCTTTCCACAGTTCTGCACTTGCTATACTAAGAGGTGAGATAAGCTGCATCACAGTTATGGCAACCAAATCCCCACACGCAGTTTTGTGTGTCTCAACCTTAGAAACTTGTGATATTTCCTATAAAACTTAGACTAATGGGAGAATTTGTCTTCAGGTTGATTTCCTTCTGTCCTGGATCACAAGGCACAATGTAGAGTTGCAGTAAGTGATCAATAAAAGAGAAAGTTGTCCAGGACTGAGAAATGACAGGAATAATCACATCTCTACACAGATTCTTATCACATCTCTGCACAGAGTCTTATCAAAGTGGTGGGCTACAGTGGCTTGCAGGGAAGTTATCTTCAGCTTCAAGAATGAGCTTCAAACAAAATTGATGTGTCGGACCCCGTCTCTACTAGAAATACAAAAAATTAGCTGGGTGTGGTAGCGGGCACCTGTAATCCCAGCTACTCAAGAGGCTGAGACAGAAGAATGGCGAGAACCCGGGCTGGGTTCTAAAGTTAGTTTCTGAGTTAAATATGTACATGCTGTAACTTCCCTGTTGTTAGAAAAAAGGCACATGAGCTTTTGTGCTCTTATATCCCAATGTTGCCTGCTTTTAAACGGTGAGGAAATGATTTCTTTATACCCTTTACTCTCCATTTTCTTAATATATTATACCCCTTGGGGAAGTCCTTGGCAAGTGACAAAAACATTAGTGAGCATCCTGGGTTAGGGAGTGGGGTGGGCTAAACTGTCTTCAGGCAATGGACAGACTTGGCTCATTTAGAAAATATTTTCACTCTGCTACCTTGAGCAATCGGAGGAAAAGCTAGCTAAGAAACAAAGTCACTGATTTCCACTATAAAAATGTTCTTTTCATTGTCTTCCCATGTATTTTGAATATCTAAAGCGCCTAAAAATTTCTACTGTTTATAGTGTTATGTCTGCTCTACTTGACAAAAAACTAATTAGAAAAGAGGACAGAACTTTCACCTTTAAAAATTCATGTTTTATGAAATGTATTCTCTGGAAACTTTGGGTCAGCTGAGTTCACCAGAGATAAGAAACACTGCATTGCATAGGCAACTCCAGGCCATCTGTTTTTCTACTTCTCCTATTAATCATTTCTGTCCCTTTTTCTAAGCAAAAAATAATTTCCCCAAGGGTATTAAAAGGCAGTAGGCACTAAAGCATGGGATGTTTTGAAAGTGTATTTTTTAAATTGCAGAATTAACATCATCAGGTTTTTCTTTCCTTTGGCTTTTATTTTGTAGAAATATTTCTCACATTTTGTATAAGCCTGCACCAAAACAACCTGGAAAATGCCTTCATCCCCAAGGAATGATTCATTCTCCTTTGCCCTTTATGGCTAGAGTTTATAATAGTCAATACCTTGACCAAAAGAAGAAGAATGCATTGTTTTATTATCACAGGAATATTGTCACTAATTAAATGTTTATTGTGGCTATAGGTGTAGGTAAATAATTATAAACCACATAAAAATGAACTTTCTATATTTGATTACTTCCTTTTTAGTCATTTGTCTTTAAGCTAAAAAGACAAGTCTCTACCCTATTTCCTTTAGAATTATTTCAATGAGAAAAGACATAGTATAGAAGAAAATGTCAGGTATTAATAAATGGAGAGTAGTAATATAATCCATTAGTGCTAATATCTCTATTATTTCAAAAATCCATTAGTTATGCAGGTAAGTGGAAAACTGTAGGATTCAGGCCAAGTTCCTAATTTGCAACTACTATTCTTCATGAGTAATAATGTCTTAAGCCTAAGAAACAGAATTTCATCTGCTTAAAATAAATGGATCATGATGAAAAATGTCAGGTGTAATGTTCTACAATTTAGGTTGAAATTTTGGGTTTTACTCTTTGTATTATATCTTTTAGTGAGAGGCTTTTTTTTGTAACCATTATTCAGTGCTGAATTCTAAAATATTCAAATACCAAAAATAGACCTGAACAGGAGAGGAGAAAAATAAAATAATTTTGTAATTTTCCTTTAGAGCCCTTCATCAGTGGTTCATTACAGAGCAGTCTCTGGCCAGACCATTAAAATTAATCTGTTCACCTTTTGCTACACTTTCACTCTTTGCTGAAATATGTATCTATATTCTTGATTGTAATAGTACTTGCATAATTGTAATACGTAACTAGCAAGTGCTAGAAGCCAGCTGTTAACCAGAGAAATAGAATGACATATATATTCTTTTTGATCCTGCTTTTTTTAGAGCAAAAATGAGTCTTCTCCTAGTACTCAAATCTTGTTCACGCACACTGGAATGTAAATCTAGTGTGCACCTCAGAAATACATCTACCGTTAAGATATTACTAACACCACGAAAGACAGAATGTTAGTATTTTGAAGTAATGTTAGTATTTTGAAGTAAATTCCTTATTATAAGGAATTTAGGGTTCAAAACATGCTTTTTAGTACTGGCAGAACAATATTATGGAAATGTTTATGTGTTTGGTTTGCTCTTAAGATTTTATATCCTGTGATCTAGAACCTAAAAATATTAACTCCTATGTTATATCAGATTGTATAGCATTGCAAAAGTTTTTAGTTCTTGTAAAAGAACTAAATTGTATAGTTTTGCAAAAGTTTTTAGTTCTTGTAAAGTAGGTGCGTTCAACCCAGTAAGATATCTTTAAAGATTTTTATTCAAATTTCCCTTATAAACAATGACTAATCACCATGGAGTATTACTTTAAACTGTAACAAAATTATTTTTTCATTATGGTTTATTAGATACGCCTACATCTGTAATATTCTAGAAAGTATTATGGAAAAATTATTGCCTTAATTCTCTAGGATATTAAATGTCAGGTGTCATTTAGATACGTAATCTAGTATGTATGCAAAATGTTTCAGAATGCTTTCAGAGCGGCTGGGTACAAACAATGCAAATTGAAATGGTGCAAACTATACAAAAATAAGGAGAATTCAGGACTAAAAAGTAAAAAAAGGGATCCACAAGGTGGGGGTGAATAAGCCAGTTTCCTGGAGGTAATACATTCTGAACTGTACATCGGAGGGGGATCCATGAGTGGGCAAGCAGCAGGAGAGGAGCATTCCAGTGAGGGGCAGTTTAGCCTGGTCTGAAAGCCTGTCACCAACCAGAACTAGAATGGAAAATACCAGTGCTTTTCTATACTATTAGCTATCGGACCTGGTCTTTTGGTTTTTGTTTAAATATTTTTTTCAGATGAGATGGGTAATGTGCAGACGTCCTAAGAAGATTTGAGTGTGGCACATCTCACACTTGTGAGTGAACACACAATCATCACGCTCATGAACTACAAAAGAATTGGACATTGTCTTTTTAATGATTAATATTATTAAATAATTGTATTATTTGTATAACATGTTAGCATCTACAAGGCACTTTTGATTTAATTTGACTCAATTAAATAGGCCACAGTGGCCTTGTCTATTTTCTTTTAGATCCAAGGTCTAAGGAAGGATGGATCAATTTAATTTGAGTGTCCATTTTATACTAAAGTTTTCAATGTTTTGGATCTTTAATCAATTATTGATTCTTTCTTGATATGACAAGTTGTAAGAATGGAAGGGAGATAGATTTTTATTTTTAATATTTGTGTCTCAATATACACACTTATGTGGCACTTCCTTGTATTGCCTTTTTTATTAAAATTGTATCTTATTTGTTTATAAAAGAAGTTAGAAAGTACAGTGCAGGCTAGGTGTGGTGGCTCATGCCTGTAATCCCAGCACTTTGAGAGGCCAAGGCGGGTGGAACACTTGAGGTCAGGAATTTGAGAACAGCCTGGCCAACATGGCGAAATCCCTTCTACTAAATATACAAAAATTAACTGGGTGTGGTGGCACACGCCTGTAATCCCAGCTACTCAGCAGGCAGAGGCATGAGAATTGCTTGAACCTGGGGGGTGGAGATTGTGGTGAGCCGAGATTGCACCAGTGCACTCCAGGCTGGGTGACAGAGACTCTGTTTCAAAAAAAGAAAGAAAGAAAGAAAGTACAGTGCAAAGGATAAAGAAAATGAATTGTAACTTCCCTCCAGAGACTCATTCCTCCATCTGTTTTCTCTTGTGACAGCAACAAGGGGTGAGGATCTTCATAATGCTCTACAAAGAGGTGGAACTCGCTCTTGGCATCAATAGTGAATACACCAAGAGGACGTTGATGCGTCTACACCCCAACATAAAGGTATTCAGGTTCATCTTGATAACCAATGTTTCTTTATTATTCTATAGGATATTTTCAGATATGTTTTGTTCTGGGCAGTAATAATCTATAGAATTCCCAAATGTATATTTGATCAAATAGCATTGTGTCCTCAGAAATGAAGCAAAATACTATACTTTCTTATCTTCCCTACATTGATGGAGGTAAGCAGACCTCATATTTCTGCTTCTCTGACTCTGATAATTGAAAGTGAGAGTTTAGACAAGAACATGCTTCCTGCATTTGTTTTGATATTCATGAGCTCTATCAAGTTCTCACACTTGTCATTAAGTTTATCCCGGAACCTCTTAGATGTGGTCTCCCTGTGACATCCCCTGATCATTGATAGCAGCAAAGAGATCTCCTCTAGTATTTAAAATGTCTTTAAAAAAAATCAATGGCACCTAGTATAAAATACTAATAAAGTAAATAAACAGGAAAAACAATTTGAAAAAGTTATTTAATATTTTGCCAAATACCTAAAACCTATCAATAAATATAACCCAGTCATTGAGGTACATCAAGACATAATGAATGAATAAACCTCCAGCAGGCTTAAAACATGTAACAATTGTATGTTTCACTTGGTCAGAAAAAATGAAAGTGTTTTCTCCCAGAGAATGATTTATTAGGTTGCATAATTTATATATATTATTTATTCATTCACCAAATTTCTATCAAGTACCCACTAAAGATGTAATTTTGCAACACCAACAACTGTGAGGAAAGAGCTGTTAAAGGAGCAGAGATTTGTATGTTACTGAAGTTAAACTGGTATAAATTCAAATTAGAATGTTACAACTTTAGGATGTTACATTTAACTGCAAAGAAAATAGCAATCCAATATATCACTATTTAACAAAAAGAAATGAGAAAGGAATTTATACATGTCACTACAAAAAAATCAACCAAACAAAATAGAAGACAGTAATGCAGGAAATGAGAGAGAAAAAAGCTATAAGGCATGTAGAGAATAGTAGCAAAAGTACAGAAGTATCTTACAAATAATTACTTTAAATGTAAACGGATTGACCCCTCTAATCAAAAAACAGAGATTGGTAGATTGGATTTTAAGAAAACATGATCCAACTATATGGTATCTACAAGAGACTCACTCTAGACGCAAAGACACAAGTAGGTTGAAAATGAAAGAATGGAAAGGATATTTCACACACATAGTAAACAAAAAGGAGCAGGAGTGGCTAAACTAGTATCAGACAAAATAGACTTTAAATCAAAACATGATTACAAGAGACGAAGAAGGACATCATATATTAATAAAAGGTTCAATACAGCAAGATATAAAAATTATACACATTTATGTACCTAATAACAGATCATCAAAATACATGAAGCAAAAATGGACAGAATTGAAGGGAGAAAAACACAGTCTGTGGTAATAGTTGGAGACTTCAACATTTCACTCTCAGTAACGGTTAGAGCAACCAGACAGAATTTAAGTAAGAAAATAGAGGACTTGAACACACAGTAAACCAGCTGGATCCAGTGGACATACAGAACATTCTAGCCAACAACAGCAGGATACACATTCTTCTCAAGTGCACATGGGGCATTTTCCAGGATCATCTGTTAGGCTCCAAAGTAAGTCCTAATAGATTTTAAAAGGTAGATAAAATCTCTCTGACCACAACAAGATAATGTTAGAAATTAATAACAGAAGGACAGCTAGAACATTCAGAAATTCATAGAAATTAAATAACACACTGTTAAACAAGCAATGGATCAAAGAAAAAATCACAAGGGAAAGAGAAAATACTTAGAGACAAATGAAAATGAAACAACATACCAAAATTACGGGACACAGAGAAAGCAGTGCAAAGGGGGAAATTTACAGCTATACTTGCAAAAAGAAGAAAGATCTCAAAACAACAACCTAACTTTACAGTTTAAGGAACTAGAAAAAGAAGAACAAACTAAACCTAAAACTACCAGAAGGAAGGAAATAAAGATTGGAGCATGAGAAGTAAAACCAGAGGATAGAAAAATAATACAGAAAATCAATGAAACCAAGTTGGTTTTTTGAAGAGATAAAATCAACAAACCTTTAGCTTGATGGGCTAAGAAAAAAAAAAGACTCAAGTTACTAAAATCAGAAATGAAAGTAGAGACATTACTACCAATTCTACAGAAATAAAAATGATTCTAAGGGATTACTGAAAGCAATTGCATACCAATACATTGGATAACCTAGAGCAGATGTGCAAGTTCCTGGAAATACGAAACCTACCGACTAAATCATGAAGAAATAGAAAATCTTAATAGACCTTTAACTAGTAAGGAGATTGATCAGTAATTAAAAATCTCCCCCAGATGAAAAGCTAGGGACCTGATGGCTTCACTGGTGAATTCTACCAAACATGTAATGAGGAATTACCACCAATCTTTCTCAAGCTTTTTCAAAAATTGAGGAGGAGAGAAGAGTCCCTAACTCATTACCCTGATACCACTGGATTGTACACTTCAAAATGGTTAAGATGGTAAATTTTATGTTATGTTTATTTTACTACAATGTTTTAAAAAAGTGTTATTAAGAAAACAGTAAGGCCAGGTATGGTGGCTCATGCGTATAGTCCCAGCGCTTTGGGAAGCTGAGGTAGGAGGGTGGCTGGAGGCCAGGAGTTCAAAACCAGCATCGGCAACATAAAAAGACACCCATATCTACAAAAAACAAAAAGATTAGCCAGGCATGGTGGTACACGCTTGTAGTCCCAGCTACTCAGGAGGCTGAGGCAGAAGGATCATTTGAGCTCAGGAGTTCAAGGCTGCAGTGAGCTATGATCACGCATCTATACTCCAGCCTCAGTGAGAGTGACAGTCTGTAAAAGAAAGAAAAAGGGGAGAGAGAGAGAGGAAGGAAGGAAGGAAAGAGGGAAGGAAGAAGAGAGAACGAAGAGAGAAAGAAAAAGAGAGAAAGAAAGAAAAGAAAGAAAGAGAAAGAAAGAAAAGAAAGAAAGAGAAAGAAAGAAAAGAAAAGAAAGAAAGAAAGAGAGGGAAGGAAGGAAGGGAAAGAAGGAAGGAAGGGAAGGAAGGAAGGAAGGAAAGGAAGGAAGGAAAGAAGAAAGTAGTTGCCAAAGCTTTTGTCATCTTTTTACCTTAAGGCAAATGAAAATAAGAAGTCAGACTGGGATAATTTTGAAAGCAAGAGGTTACTAACTACTCAAGGTACCTTTTAAATAAAGAGCTGCCAAAATATCTATATGCCTATATTCATATGCTTAGTATTTCAATTCAACAACTGATAAAATATCAATATAATGCATTACAAATTTTTCCAGAGATAAATAGTAGTTAAATATTTTTAGCTTTTTTTTTTTTCAGTACTGAATTTAACTTAATCCTTACAGGGGGAAGGGGACCAGCTATCAAACTGAGCTGACTGTTTTCTAATGTATTGCCAGACCTCAAGCTAAATGGCAGCTGCCCCAAAATATAGTATATGGACATGGGAGCTTGAAAAGTAAATAGGAGTCTTTTTTTTTTTTTTTTTTTTTTTGCTAAATGCTGAGAATAAAATTATTTTCTTTGGTGTATACGTTGTACGGTTTGGTATTTGAATTATAGAAAATGCTTTTCAGGGAGAATGCAGTCCTATTTCATTATGACAGGAAGGACATTTTAAAAGCATATTATCAGTGGGGATTTTTCCCTCTCAAGGTGATGAGACATCCGGATCATGTGTCGTCCACCGTCTATTTGTGGGCTCACCATGAGAAGCTTGTCATCATTGACCAATCGGTGGCCTTTGTAGGAGGGATTGACCTGGCCTATGGAAGGTGGGATGACAATGAGCACAGACTCACAGATGTGGGCAGCGTGAAGCGAGTCACTTCAGGACCATCTCTGAGTTCCCTCCCAGTAAGTATATTTCACCTTTATGGAAATGTATAACACGAACATAATTTGTATAAGTTTGTATTAATAGCATGACTGATGGATTCATTGAATAAGAGATGGTGTCTCCTTGGAAGGGAAATGAACATTAAGTCAATCATGAGACAGACTTGGTTTCAAATACCAGCCTCCCCACCTAGCTAGCTGTAACTTAGCATTGCTGAGTCTGTTCTTCTCTTGTAAGAAAAGAAAATAGATTCAGTGGAATTTTGCCTGTCCCATATTCAGCTTTGTTTTCCATTTAAATTAAGATTTATTTTTTATTCAGAAATAAGATTGATAAACAAAAATATGTGGCAGTTGAGATTTAGGTATTAAAAAGCCTTAAGTATCTGCCACAGTTTTTGGAAAGTTCCTACTTAAAGATACACAGAAACAGGATAGGTCAGTCTGGGGTCATTTAGAGGGAATTTGAGCCAGAAGTGAATAACTTCCCAAAGTGCCTTTTTAAATAGAGCTGCCAAAATATCTGTATGTGTATATCAATCTGCTTGCTGTTTCAACTAAATGACTGCCAGAATATGAACACACTTACTAAAAAATTTGATGGGCTTCATCTTATTTACTGCTGGAAATGTTGGTGACTCATTTATGCAGAAATAGCAATTTAGTGCATAGGGAACAGGAAAAATGATTGACAGAGGAAGCCTTGCTTACTTAATGTTTATCAGAGGAACGCGTTCAGGAGTTCAACAGTGAATGTAACCCATGTAATTGTATTTGAGATTAAAAGTTTAATTGGAGTGAAATTTCAAGAATTTGACCTACTGAAAGAAGAGCCAGAGCAGAACTCCTCCTATTCCTTTGGTAGTTTTTAAACAGTTCACAAGAATCCACCACTACCCTGTGGCTGACCTCAGACATTATTGCATATCTATTACAGAACCTCCATCATTTGTAAACTTTATACTTAGCTCTACTTGAATTAAAGAACCACATTGCAGAATGTCTTATGCAGTGTCTTTGTTTACAAAAATAATTTTCTCAGCCTGCCACAACAGAGTCTATGGAATCCTTAAGCCTCAAAGATAAAAATGAGCCTGATCAAAACCTGCCCGTCCGGAATAGTGTTGATGATGTGGATTCAAAACTGAAAGGAACAGGAAAGCCAAGAAAGTTCTCCAAATTTAGTCTCTACAGGCAGCTCCACAGGCACCACCTGCACAACGCAGATAGCATCAGCAGCATTGACAGCACCTTCAGTAAGTCATGGCCTTTGCTAGAATTTATCTTAACTACCTACTGTTCTTCCATAGCCGGACACTACATACCTGTTTTTAAAATCTGTCTTTCTGTAATGGAGTAGAATGAGCAATGTTGAGAGGTCACTATATCATTCTATTCAACCTCATGCCATTTTGTGGCTTTGTTTGCCTCATTTTAGAGCAGATTTATTGTTTTATCCACACAAAAGTCGTAACGACCACGATTACTGCTTCTAATGGTAGCAGAACGACAAAGGGTTTCTAAAATACACCAAGCCATAAAGGAAAAAGGTATTAGATGTACTTTATAAACTTTTCTTAGAAGAAATTACATTTATCTTCCTATCCAGAAATATATCAAGCTTATCTCTTCAAGCATCAGACTTTCTACATCTTGTAAATTTACTATTCCTTTGAAATCCATTGTAAAATCCTACAATTTTCTGTTGCACAGAATCTTATAACTGATGTTATAGCCCTGTCTGGTTTTAAAAATGATCAACTTTGCTTTCCAGTTTAGAAAATTTGATATCTGTATTTCTTTGTAAAAAAAAAAAATTCTCAATTTCTCTAGGTTGTTTTAATCACTATAGAAGTCATCACAATTTAATCCATGGTTTAAAACCCCACTTCAAACTCTTTCGCCCATCCAGTGAGTCTGAGCAAGGACTCACTAGACCTAATGCTGGTAAGTGATTTGTGAAGTGGCAGAACTCCCTTAGGCTTGAGCTTTGGTTGTGCTGTCTGCTGCATGGGCATAGTGAATGTGTTTCCAGATTGGCTTTCTGTTTGCAGTTTTGTTGCTACATATATTATTGAGAGTCTGCTCTATGCAAAGCATCCTGTAGTATCCAAGATCCCTACTCCCTAAGAACTTATAGCAGCAAAGACAAAACAGACCTAATAAGAGAAAATGCATGGCACATGCAATTCAATAGTGTTGTGGACGTTCTATGGAAGGTGGAAGGAATTCCTCTCTGATGGTCCAACAAGACTTTTTGAGGAGGGGACATTTGGGTTAGGCCTGGAAGTAATTGGGGTAGGTGATAGGAAGTCATTGCAAGTGAGGGAGGTGAGTTGAGCAAAGGTGCTGGAATGGGAAAGCAGCAACTGTTTTCAGATCGTGTAAAATGCATTATTTGGCCAAGATGCAGTTTTTGATATAAGACTAGGAAGATATATGACATTCACATTTGGGAGTTGGAATTTTATTCAGTTAATTTTTTTTTTTTTGAGATAGAGTCTTGCTCTGTCACCCAGGCTGCAGTGCAGTAGGGCCATCTCGGCTCACTGCAACCTCTGCCTCCCGGGTTTTAGCGATTCTCCTGCTTCAGCCTCCTGAGTAATCCCTGGCTGGGATTACAGGTGGGCATGACTGTGCCTGGCTAATTTTTGTACTTTTAGTAGAGATGGGGTTTTGCCATGTTGGCCAGGCTTGTGTTGAACCCCTGACCTCAAGCAATCCTCCCACCTCGGCCTCCCGAAGTGCTGGGATTACAGGTGTGAGCCACCGCACCTGGTCAGTTAAAAATCCTGAAGGCCTTTGGGTGGATGTGTTGTGTCATGCTATGTGAATTTTCAGAAATCACAATCTGATAGCTGTTGGTAAGAAGATACTCCAGATACTTGAGGAATTAATGAATGATTAATGAGTTTCACTTGTGGTGGGAATAAAGAAGGATTTGGCCACTGGTCAGATATGGAGATAAGTAATCATAATAAATGATGCTAGTAAAATCATAGGCTAAAATTTATTTTATGCAGACTGTATCCATCACTGCCCTGAGAACTTGCAGTGCTTAGTAGTAATATTGTCATCTTCTTTTTACAGATGAAGACATTCAGGGTTAGAGATGATACATGTCATGCCCAATGGAGTTCCAATTTATCATCCTCCCAGTGCCCATGATTAAGACTTGTGATTTAGCAGAAATGAAGATCACTATGTTATACTTTTTTGGCTAGAACCTAAGGTCAGGGCTCTCATGTACTGTTTAGCAGATGAGAGTTACAGTCTAGCACACATGCCTGAATGTGAGTCACTTGTGGCTTGCAGGTGCTAATGAACCAGAAAACTTATGCTGGACTTTGAGTAGGGATTCCCAGCATTCTTTCACCTAGGGCAGGGGTGTCCAATCTTTTGGCTTCCCTGGGCCACATTGGAAGAAGAAGAATTGTCTTGGGCCACACATAAAATATACTAACACTAATGATAGCTGATGAGCTAAAAAAAAGTTGCAAAAAAATTATAATGTTTTAAGAAAGTTGGTGAATTTGTGTTGGGCCACATTCAAAGCCATCCCGGGCTGCATGTGGCCCACAGGCTGTGGGTTGGACAAGTTTGGTCCAGCTACCCTGCATTTTAAAAAATGCAGTAATCAACTACACACAATGAACTAAAACTTCAATGTAACTGTTAAATAAATTTATGTTTTATAAATCGTAACAGCATCAATATACATTTAAAAATGGAGAAGAGGCCAGGGACAGTGACTCACACCTGTAATCCCAGCACTTTGGGAGGCGGAGGCAGGAGGATTGCTTGAACCCAGGAATTCAAGACCATCTTGGGCAACGTAGTGAAACCCCATCTCTACAAAAAATTAGCTGAGCGTGGTGGTGTGCATCTCTCGTCCCAGCTTTTCTAGAAGCTGAGGCGGGAGAATTGCTGGAGCCTGCAAGACAGAGATTGCGGTGAGCTGAGATCATGCCACTGCACTCCAGCCTGGGTGACAGAGGGAGACCCTCTCTCACACACACAAAAATAATTTTTAAATTTTTTAAAAATAAAAATAAATGGCTCAAGCCTGTAATCCCAGCACTTTGGGAGGCCAAGACGGGTGGATCACGAGGTCAGGAGATCAAGACCATCCTGGCTAACACGGTGAAACCCCGTCTCTACTAAAAAAATACAAAAAAAATAGCCGGGCGAGGTGGCGGTCGCCTGTAGTCCCAGCTACTCGGGAGGCTGAGGCAGGAGAATGTCGTAAACCCAGGAGGCGGAGCTTGCGGTGAGCTGAGATCCGGCCACTGCACTCCAGCCTGGGCGACAGAGCGAGACTCTGTCTCAAAAAAAAAATAATAAATAAAAATGGAGAACAAATATGGGGAGACATTCTTATTTAGCATACAGCTAGTACTGGATGTGTGTGTGGATTCGGGGACAACTCCCATTAATTCCTGTGCTTGACAAAGCTTCAAAGTCCTGGGAAGCAGGAGGCCTCTGCAAAATCCAGGAAGCCAGGAGTGCATGCAGTGGCAGATATTAGAGGTAAAGGGTTGGAAACAGCTCCAGGTAGTGCCTTATCATTTCAATGTGTAGCTTTGCTGCTTTATTACTGAAGTTAAAAATGAAGTGGAGGAAATGAGATTGCCAACCCTGAAGATTATGGATCTGAATTATGACTGATAGTGTTGCTGACAATAGGATTGAGAGCAACTGGAAAAGATGTGAGTGAAGTGCTGAGTCCAGTAAGTAACTCACACCTACTACAGGTTGAGAGGGGTGATATCCACAGGGGTGATCTGAGACACTGATCATACATGTGTATGGTTTTCTGTTGCTGATGAAAAGTACCCTTGACATCTGTTTACAACCTCTCACTGATAAACTGAATATATATCTAGTGCAGCATTGTCGAGAGACAAAGAGATAGGGGGAGAGAGAACAACCTAAACATCAAAGAGTAGGGAAATGGTGAAGAACATAATGAATGGTAACAAATGTTTCATCTCTTTGATGGAACTGGGCAATGATTAGAACTGTAATTGGGGATACAAAAATAAACATAGAAGATTTATTTATTTAATTAAATAAGTATTTATTGAGTTTCTATTATATACCAATCACTATTCTGGGTTCTAGAGGTGTAGTGAATAAAGCAGATGAAGTGCAGTTAACTAGTTGGGTGGTAAGGATGAGAACTATATGTACAAATAGAGGGTCAAACACATTATATCAGGTGGTAATAATTATGGAGAATAGTTGAGCATGATAAGGGAGGAAGGGCACAGGAGAAGTTACTATTTTGTAAAGGCTGGTCAGAGAATACGTCTCTCATGAGGTTAGTTTTTAACTGATATCTAAAGGAGGAGAAGAATGAGGATAAGAAACTGTCTGAGAGAGGGTGTTTCTGACAGAAGGAATAGCAAGTATGAAAGGCCATGAGGCAGAGGGGACAGGTGTGTTCCAGGAATACGGCTGTAGTGAGGTAGGCTAGGAGAGGATGATAAGAACAGAATCAGAGAGGTAGGCCGGGGTGGATTATGTGAGGTCTTGAAGACCACTGTAAGATTTTGACCCTGAGTGAGACAGCAAGTCATTGCATGGTCTTGAGCAAAGGGTAAGCAAGGGCTGACTTACATTTTCCAAGGATCATTCTTCAGAGCAGACCAGGGTGGCAAATGGTGACTGTGCAGGTTATGAATATATTTTGAGGGTCGAGCTGACAGCATTTGCCGATGAACTAGATATGAGATGTGAGAGATGGAGAGGACTCCAAATCTTTGGCCCCACTGGAAAGATGGAGTCTCCATGAACTGAGATGGTTATGGGAAGAGCAAGGAAAGTTTGAGGACAATTGCCACTATGTCAAAATACGTTCCTGAAGGCAGCTGAGAAAGGACGTTCAATGATGCTATCTTTGTTAGGAAAATGGAGCTTGAGGTGATTTATTTTTTTCCCACATTGTTGGTACTGTTTTCATTTTACTTTTATAATCAAATTTAAATACAAATTTAATTTTTTAAAATGAAAACAATTCGTTTACCTCAAAAGAAAAGCCAAAGGATAGTGGGGTCCTTCTAGAGCAGTGCTTTCCAAACTCGATTCCTTGGATCCTGGAGTTTCTAAAAGGCTTTGAGGAGAACATTGAAGTAGGTGAACCCCAGGACCCTCCCACTGCTCTTGGTACCTCTTCAACCAGAACAATCCCACTTGTATCTGTTTTAAATATTGGAGTCCTTCTGAATTTGTTTTCAAAAAAAAAGTAAGTAAAGTTCTATTAAAAATAATGAAGGAAGTTTAAGGAGCAAGGCACTAGATTTAAATCATGTAATACTTTAAAAACTGAGGTTGCCTTATAAAACAAATTAAGCATGGAGTGACTCTTCGTTAGAAATTTAAAACTGAATGTGAACTTGAGTTAATGACTTCCTTGTCCTGAGAATGCAAAGAGAGTTAGCCTCTCTGCAATATCAATTTCACTTGACTGCACATGACCACGTTGAATTGGGCTCCTATTAAACCTCTCTGGTGTCATACAGAAATCAGTGTGGAGTGAACATCGCTATGGGTTTTTATATAGAAAAACTGCACTGAAAATGTGGTTAGGAATCATATCTGTAATATATGTTTTTCAAAATCAGTCAGCCATTTTCATGTTTTTTTTTCATTCAGAATTATGTTGTAAGAGGGAGAATTTTGCTGATACTATTTTTAAAGTGTTGAATTTTATTCCTCTTATTTATTTATTATACTTTAAGTTCTGGGATACATGTGTAGAACATGCAGGTTTGTTACCTAGGTATACATGTCCCACGGTGGTTTGCTGCACCCATCAACCCATCATCTACATTAGGTGTTTCTCCTAATGCTATTCAGCAACTGTGTGCTGATGTTTTCCTTTTAAGCAATATTAAATAGGTAAGTGAGGGAAAAATTATTTTTGCAATTTAGTTGAGACAGGCTTTTCACATTTGAGTGTCTAGTCATAAGGGATAATATTAAGCTGTTTCTAAACTGTTCTTAGAAATGCAATGGATAGGATGTATAAGATTCATCTTGTGCTGTTAAATAGCTTATTATCTAATAGGTGAGCATGAGTTTTAAATATTTTACAAACCTAATATTTTAGTCATTCATTGAGGGAAGATACTCCTACTGCAAGAGTCATCATTGGTCCACAGATGACATACAGGTCTACAAACCCTTAACAACAATTCTAAATCCCAAAAAATTTTGAAAACCAAAATATTTTTTAAAATATAACTTGTTGAGTGCCTGTATTGGAACTGGACTCGGACATACATAGAAATTCAGTAGGTAGAGACTAAAAAGGTAGAAAACAGCCATTTTAGGTAGATACTACATCTTAAGACACAGATATAGGAAATGCAAAAGTATTTATTTCGGCATCTCAGACCTGAGTGTAGAATGTGGTAGATACATATAGCTCTATAATCTCTCATACAAAATCTTTGGAATCAGATTTCAGAAATCAGAAAGTTGTGGATTTTAGAAAGGTAATACAATACCTATACCCTCTATTATGTTACCCTCCCAGCAGCATCCAGGAAATACCTGGAATGTAGGCAAACCATTTATGTTTGTGCAACACCAAGTGGGATCAATAAAGATAATAAATAACCTCTTGTCAGTTCAGGCCAGGTTTTGCTGACCCGGGAGCTATGAAATGGGCTGTGAAAATCAGCTATGAAAAACATTTGAATTGTTAGAACTTTTGGAGTTTTGGAATTGTGGTTAAGGGCTAATTTGTGCAGATTGAGCTGGTGGGATATATCTGTATCAGTCTACGGAGGACTTTGAAAATCAGACTGAGACATTGCACCTCTTCCATTAAATGTTGGAAAATCCCTACGGGCAGGGAGCAATTAAGGGTGAGGCTTTATAGCATTTATAGTAGAGACACGGGGAGTCTGACAAGGTTGTGTCAGTGAGTTCAAGAACGAAGTAAATGGGAGAACCTTTTTCCAAAGGCATCATGGTCTGGGAAGCCATGGGAAGGTGGGTGGAGAAGTCCATGAAGAATAAAGGAGCCAAAGATGATTCCGAGGTTTGAGCTTGAGTTACTACACGCAGAGAGCAGAAATCTCAAGGAAAGACTTGATTTTATGGAATGATAATGATTTTAGTGTCAGACATAATTTTAAAGTTCTGGTGGGAACTAGGTAAACAATGTTAAGTGAGGCACTGGAAGTGATCTTAGATCTGGAGTCCAAAACAGAGGCCAAACTTGCAAGTGCACATTTAGAAATTGTATCGAAAAAGATGGGAGAGGCCAGGCGCGGTGGCTCACACCTGTAATCCCAGCACTTTGGGAGGCTGAGACGGGCAGATCACAAGGTCAGGAGTTCGAGACCAGCCTGGCCAACATGTGAAACCCTGTCTCTACTAAAAATACAATAATTAGCTGGGCATGGTGGCGTGTGCCTGTAATCCCAGCTACTCGGGAGGCTGAGGCAGGATAATTGCTTCAACACTTGAACCCGGGAGGCGGAGGTTGCAGTAAGTGGAGATCATGCCACTGCACTCCTGTCTCAAAAAAAAAAAAAAAAAAAAAGAGAGAGAGAGAAAAAGAAAAAAAAGGAAAAGAAAAAGACAGGAGAAAGGGGAAACCTTGTTAGTGAGGAGGAGCTAGGAAAGAAGAACAAGAGGCGCAGGCTGAAGAAATGGTAGAACAATGGAGACCTGGAAGGCAAGAGATGACAACAAAAGGAGAAAAGGAGGAGGATGTGGCAAGACCAGAGAACACCAGGCAAGGAGCAAGAAGACCCCCTTCTCATAAACTTTAGCAGCCAGAATCTGAGCCACTGACAGAGGAGGATGCAGAAGATTGGCATGACAAATCTGTGCCAAAAGATAAGGCAGGTGCAATTATGAAATCATTTGGGAGCCAGATAGCAACCTAATGAGACCCCCCTTGGATCAGCATTGTTGACATCAGAAGTCCTCTCGACCTGCTCATCCATGCTCATGCAATTCTGAGCTGTTGTTTTCACAGGAACTAGTATTTGACTCTATTGCCTTAAGAGTTCATTTGTACTGAGAAGGACCCTAATTTATGTGGAATAGTTTTTAGGCCATGGCCAAAAACAAAAGCAAATTTGAATTATGAGCAGGTTGAATTCAATTAGTACCAAGATAATTTCCTGAGACTAAGAATTTCCTTTATTTTCCTTATCATAACTAGTTGTTAGGTGAAAGTTAATTTTTAAATGAGTGTATGTGTGTTTATGTAAAGCCGTAGCTTAGAGTTTTGCAACTGATGAAAGCAAATTGTATATATATTTTTTATATTTGAAATCTGAAATATTATTTATCTCATTTTTGGTCCCTTTTGTTTCTTTTCTTACCCTCTGTTTTTCTTTTTACAAAGTGCTATGTTAACAACAAAGAGCCTGTAGTTGAGCAAACAGGCCTACCTGCACTTTGGCCTTTCAGTCTCATAAAGCAGGAAAATAAATAACTGGGAGAAGTCAATAGAAGTCTATTTTTAACATGATTTCATTTTGCTAATCTATGGCATTTTAAGTCATTTTTCTTCTATAGAAAATTTCAGTAGCCTTTGGAAGGTTAATGATTCAGTTTGAGATAGAATATTAGCATTGTGTGTGGTGATTACATAAAAACATTTGTTCTGCAAATATTTATTGATTACCTGGATGCTTGGAGGTACAGGCAGTGAGGAGATTTGGTTCCCACTCCCAAAGAGTTTATAGACTGGTGAGGCATTGATGGAGGGCGGGAACCTGATACAATTGCGTCACAGAGTTAAAGGTGTTGGGGCAGTTGTTAATGGGATGACAGCAGTGCTAATGACTGCCTCTTCCTTACAGGGTGCTGGGAGGTCTCTCGTCTCTCTAGAGCAGGTGACAGTTAATGTGGCTCTTGAAGGATGATTAGGATATCAGGCCAAGAGGGAGAAAGGAGCATTTCAGGGAGAAGTAATAATGTGCCGACTACATGGAGACATGGCAGACCACGCCTGTTAAAATACAGTGAAACATGTGCTTTACATGGAGCCTGGGGTTGGGTGGGGAAAAACAAGGACTAGAAAGAGTTGGCACCAGTTTGGGAAGAGCCTTCTATGCATACTAAGCCCTTAGGACTTGAACTTCCTGTAGGCAGTATGTGAACCTTCCAGGGCTTTAAGCAAAGAGTGCCTTTTACAAAGACAGTTCTGGGACAGTGTGTTGGTGGCGGGACCAGTGCAGCCCTCTCACTGGCTACTGCAAGCAGTACCATTTATTCATTCAACACATATTTTTGCATTCAGTGTCTATTTGTTAAATGCCTCTTTTGTGCCAAGCGCTGCATTTGTGATTTGTAATTCTGCTAATCTTTTTACTTCATTGTCTTCATATTTAGCCTTAAGTCAATGGTCTCAGCATAGTTCTTTGTGAAATGCTACAATAGATTGCTGCTTTTGTACCTATATCGTAAGCTTTCATCTGTTGTTGCCATATTTTTTATAAATGCCATTTATGATGTGAAGTATGTAAATGTTAAAGCGCAACAGATTTTAGCTGTTATCTAGGCGAAATTCTTCATTTGATGCATAATGGACTTATGATCTAAAAAGTTGAAGCTCAGTGTCACTTAGCTAGTTAATTCCAGGGCTGGAACATGGACTATCTGTAAATTTGAAGTTCTTGCTTCAATGCAAAACAATTATGCATCAGGTGTGCACCATGTTGGTTGAGGAAAAAGAAGTGGCATGGTATCTTTATTGCCTCTGCGTCTCAGGTTTCTCCACCTCACCCCCGCCCCTCCCCCTCTACCCCCCAAAGCCCCCCAACAGCTTTACTGCTCTCTCATAGTGCCACCTTGTGAGTTCTCTATTCACAGTTAATTCTGTGATCAGTTCTTCCAGTGATCTGGTAGGTGGTGGGAATAAGTTACTCAACTGCCTGAGGTCAAATTTCATTGTTTGATGATGAATCTTGTTATAGCCCTAATTGCCCACTAAAAGTAAACTTGTAAGGACTGTAAAACCTTGTTAGCTCACAACCTCTAATACAATGGACATATGCCACCCTAGTGATGTCTTAAGAAATTAAGAAGCTTTTAGGTGTTTAATAAATGAGAGTTGAGCCTCCCTTTCTGGGATCCCCCTGAACCACAGTCCCTGAGGGGGTCTTGCTGCATTCACAGATACCGGGTCCATCCGCAGTTTACAGACAGGTGTGGGAGAGTTGCATGGGGAAACCAGATTCTGGCATGGAAAGGACTACTGCAATTTCGTCTTCAAAGACTGGGTTCAACTTGATAAACCTTTTGCTGGTGAGTATTATGATGGTGGGGTACTGGTTATATTTTGTCTTTTACCTTTGAGCATCTCAACAAGTACACACGTGCATGATCTAAATGACTTTTGTTTTGCTTCTGTTTATTTTTGAAAATTTTTTAAAACTTTGGAGACTTGATTTAGTCATTAGTCATGTGCTTAAGGACTCTTTTTTTCAGTTATAATAAGAAAAAAACACGAAATAGAGCTGAACTGTCTGAAACCTCCAGATTTGTTATAGGCACATTTTTGGGGTAATAATCAGTAATTTTTCAGGAAATGGTAGGCTCCCTTTGATCATCTTTTATTCTGCTTATTTCCTGCATTTCCAAAATGAGAATGGCGTATTTTCAGATTATCACTGGGTTTATATGTTTAAGAGGAGATAGAGATGGCATTGCTTGCCATTGTTTCAACAGGATAAAAAATTAAAAATATATTATCAAACACACAGCCTTAGATAATTTGTACCCACTCACATCTTGCCATGTCTAGTGATTATCTAATCCTAAGTGAAATGGAAACATATTTGGGGAGGTGCCTGGGAGCTATGTCCCTGCATGTGAAATCTGTTTCCCTTGATTATAAAAATGTTGTTCTGTGCAAGCCAAGAAATATATACCTAGTGAGCACTAACCCACGTTTCCTTTTAGTATCGTAGTTGGAGTCAGAGAGCCTCTGCCCCAGCACCGAAGTTAATGACTGATCCTTGCCTGGTGCACCTGGGCAGATTTCATTGACAGGTACTCCATGCCCCGGATGCCCTGGCATGACATTGCCTCTGCAGTCCACGGGAAGGCAGCTCGTGATGTGGCACGTCACTTCATCCAGCGCTGGAACTTCACGAAAGTACTTGGATATTGCTATCATGATTTATCCACATGAAGAGAGGCAGGCCTAACTAGAGAAGAGGTTCAGAGGAGGCTGTTGGCAAGAAGAGATTGTCGTGGCCACAACTATGTCACCGCTCTGCTGTTGGCTCCATTGATGTCAGGGTGCCTGGGCATCTGGGCAAAAAAAGAGGGAAACATTTCTGAATGTCCACACCATAGACAATTCAGCGTGCCTAGGGATAGGTGCTGCTGTGTGGGTCCTGATTTTAATTTTGTTAATATCTTGGACACAGTGTTGACCAAGCATTTAGTAGCCCGGGCTCGGTAGTCATTTGCAGGGCTGTTATAGCGGGATGGGAGCCTTGTTTAGATGAGAGGGCTTGAGCTTTGAAGTCCCGTCCAATCCTGGAACTGCAATGGGTTTATATTGGTACAGGATTCTGAGAGCTGGTTCTGAGCAAACCAAGCAATATTAAGAAGGTAGGGCCATTTTCCTTTTCTCCAGATTGTGTCCTCATTACTTGTAAGAACTTGACCTAACATTCAAACCTAACATTCATAAGTTAAGTACGTATCATTCAGGTCGGGCTCGGTGGCTCACAACCGTAATCCCAGCAATTTGGGAGGCCTAGGCGGGTGGATCACCTGAAGTCAGGAGTTCGAGACTGGCCTTACCAACATGGTGAAACCCCATCTCTACTAAAATACAAAAATTAGCTGGGCGTGGTGGTGGGTGCCTGTAATCTCAGCTGCTCTGGAGGCTGAGGCAGGAGAATCACTTGAACCCAGGACGCTGAGATTGCAGTGAGCCGAGAGAACGCCACTGCACTCCAGCGTGGGCGACAGAGCGAAACTTGGTCTCAAAAAAAAAAAAAAAAAGAAAGAAGGTACATATTCGGGTGTTTTTAAAGTTTCACTTTATTTACTTGAAGTAATAATGAGGCATGATTCCCCTGGGTCATTTTGAAAAAGAATTTAGTTTTATCAACCACTTAGACTCTCACTTTGTTTTTCATTCACATGAGGATTATAAAAATTTAGTGGACATTCTAATGGAAATTTTCTAACAAAAATTTAGGGGAGATGGATTAATAAACAAATGGGGTGTTACTTTTAACCTGCTGTACTGGCAAAGATAAAAATCTCTGCTAATACCTGTAGTTAGGTTTGGGGTGGTTTTTGTGGTGTGCTCATACACACTGCCCCAGGGAGGATAAATTTGTACAACACCAATAAGTCTTTTTTAAAGACTTTGATCCAGAAAAACTATTTCCAGGTATTCAAACTAAAGCTGTAATCCAATAAGGTAATTTATTTTGATATGGCTTCTAATAATTCAAATAAAATTAGAAATAACAGAAATCCTTACTAATAGGAATTTGTTAACCAAATGATTCTTTTATACCATTTTACTATGAAGTTATTAAAAATAATGATATCCCACTATATTGCTGTGGCAAGATATCTAGAACATAATCAGTAAAAAAATTAGTTTATAAAACAATAGTCTCATTTTTGCAATTATAAACTTTTATAACTATAGATTATATTTAACCTGTCTTTATAAATATAAAACAATATGTCCCCTACAAAAGGTAAAAACAGGACTATGAGAAATAGAAAACAAACACAAATAATCTGTAGCCCTTCACTTAGAAATGTCCATTAACATTTTTCTTTTTCTTTTTCAAATTAACCTGAATTTCTTTTTTTTTTTTTTTTTTTTTGAGATAGAGATTCACTCTTCACTCTTGTCACCCAGGCTGGAGTGCAATGGTGAAATCTCAACTTACTGCAACCCCTGCCTCCCAGGTTCAAGTGATTCTCCTGACTCAGCCTCCTGAGTTGCTGGGATTATAGGTGCCCGCCACCATGCCTGGCTAATTTTTGCATTTTTAGTAGAGATGGGGGTTTCACCATGTTGGCCAGGCTGATCTTGAACTCCTGACCTCAGGTGATCCCCAGTCCTTGGCCTCCTAAAGTGCTGGGATTACAGGTGTGAGCCACTGCGCCCTACCATAAATTTATTTTATAATCACAAAGTAGGGAGAATGAATCTTTTTTCTCATTTGAATATTTTTTATCCCTTTTTCTTTATTTTAGATTATGAAATCAAAATATCGGTCCCTTTCTTATCCTTTTCTGCTTCCAAAGTCTCAAACAACAGCCCATGAGTTGAGATATCAAGTACCTGGGTCTGTCCATGCTAACGTACAGGTAAGTTCTGGCTTTTCTTTTTGACAAAATGCTACCGAGTAAAATTACTGTTATTGGACCAAGGGCCTGTTACATTGGCTTCAGATTTTTCAATGACTGCTTTTCTAAGGCAAAACTAAATGGACCTTTTAACACTTAGTATTAGATTTCCTATGTTAAATGGATTCAGTCTAGTCTCTTTTTAAAACTGTTATAAATATAATAAATGCGTGTCCTTAGAAAAGGCCACCGCCAAGGAAAGGCTATTCCTGTAATTCCTTCTGAAGTGACCCTAGCAACGTGATTCCCAGTAAACCTGGACCTGATACTGCCTAAGCACCAGGAATGTGGCTGAAACTTAGCAGCTAGGAAGCTAGTTGTAGTTCAATCTAATTTTAGTTCCTGATTAACCAAATGTCTTCTAGAGGCCCTTTTAATGGAATAAGGATTTGTCTTAATAGAGTCACAGCAGTTTACCACATCCAGTTTAACCATCTCAAACTACAAATAAAATTCAGACCTCGTGGGGCTCTGAGGCCTATCTAGGGCCGGCCAGCTGGTTATCAACAGAGGTGGACATTGAAATCCTAGTCTAGTCCAGTGTTACCCAGTCTGCTTCCTTTACCAACTACAGCTCAAATATCTTGAGATCATGTGGGGACAGAAGTAGGATGGGCCACCTTTGGCGTTGCCTTTTGTTTGAAGTCATCACTATGGGCATCAGTAGAATTGTTTACGTAAAGTCCAGCAGCCTGCTACTGCTACATATCATCAGTAGGGACTATATAATGCAGACATGGATCCTAGGGAACATGATTATATAAATGAAGTGCCTAAATCAGTTATTTTGCATCGTGTGCAATTGGAGGTATGTGTATATAAGAAATCAGACATTTCAGACTGTAGATCAAATAATAGAATATTTTTTTATAAAAAGGCCAGGCACGGTGGCTCCCGCCTGTAATCCTAGCACTTTGGAACGCCGAGGCAGGTGGATCACCTGAGGTCAGGAGTTCGCAACCAGCCTGGCCAACCCTGTCTCTACCAAAAACAAGAAATTAGCTGGGTATAGTGACATGTGCCTGTAATCCCAGCTACTCGGGAGGCTGAGGCAGGAGAATCGCTTGAACCCAGGAGGCAGAGGTTGCAGTGAGCCAAGACTGCGCCACTGCACTCCAGCCTGGGCGACAGGGTAAGACTGTTTCAAAAAAAAAAAAGAGAGAAACGGCTTGAGAGAAATATCAGCAGCAAATACTAGTCATCCTAGGCTAAAAAGAAAACTAATTTAAACTCAGAGGCATAGATAGCTTTATATGTAAGCTGATGAATATTTTATGAACCTGTTTAATTTTATTCTACGTGGAGGAGAAAAAACTACCCATGCTAGAATATAAAATAAGAAACTTGTTATTAGGAAAATAAGAATTTAAGATTTGAACTTGCGTTATTATTGACGTCATGGTCAATTTATCAAAGTTAGCTGTTGTTAATAAGTATCTGTTGAAAATGGATTGCTGGGAATTAAGTATTTTTGTAATCAATGAAGAAAGTTTTAGCATAGTGTTGCATATGCATATATTTTCCACTTCACTGTTGGTGAAGTCCTGACTCACATAGTCTCATCCTGCTGTCTGGTGAGGTCGATAGATACTCTATAAGATGCTTCTCTTTGTTCACTTTTTCCACATCGCCGATGTTGTGTGAGGAATGACACTAGACTGGGTGTGGTGGATCACACTTAGAATCCCAGCACTTTGGGAGGCCAAGGCAGGAGGATTGCTTGAGCCTAGGAGTCCAAGACCAGCTTGGGCAACATAGTGAGACCCCATCTCTACAAAAAGTTTTTAAAAAATTAGCCAGGCAGCCGGGCGCGGTGGCTCAAGCCTGTAATCCCAGCACTTTGGGAGGCCGAGACGGGCGGATCACGAGGTCAGGAGATCGAGACCATCCTGGCTAACACAGTGAAACCCCGTCTCTACTAAAAATACAAAAACTTAGCCGGGCGAGGTGGCAGGCGCCTGTAGTCCCAGCTACTCGGGAGGCTGAGGCAGGAGAATGGCGTAAACCCGGGAGGCGGAGCTTGCAGTGAGCTGAGATCCGGCCACTGCACTCCAGCCTGGGTGACAGAGCGAGACTCCGTCTCAAAAAAAAAAAAAAAAAAAAAAATTAGCCAGGCATGGTGGCACATGCTTGTGGTCCCAGCTACCCAGGAGGCTGAAGCGGGAGGATTGCTTGAGCCCAGGAGGCGGAGACTGCAGTGAGCCTTGATTGCACCCATGCACTCCAGCCTGGGCAACAGAGCGAGACTGTCTTGAAAAAAAATAAATAAATAAAAATAAATAAAAAAAGAAATGAGACTAGATCTGATAAGCTCATATGTTAATCCCACATATGTTCAGGTGACCTGGATTCAGGAATCTACAAAGCCAAGGATATTTAACAAAGCTTATTCATTCATTCGTTCATTCCTTTATTCAGCCAACGTATGTTTACTAAGTGTTGTCCGTTTGCATGTTGAAGTCATCAAAGCACACTTGGGTGTCAAGGGGGTAGACAGCAAAGGAGTTCTCTGCCTCTGGAAACTTAGTGAGCTAGGGAGAGATAGCTGAGATGAACAATTCAGTTAACAGTGCAAGATACGGTCTCTGAGTAAATGTTGGTGTGAAAGTAGGGACCAGCATGCTATGAGTTTGGAAATCCAGAGCGACAGAACTGGGTGTCTGCTCTAAGGAATAATCCTGCTTGCTCAGAAGACAAGAGGACTGACTACAGTAACCCATTCCCTCTAAGAGAGGCGCTGATGAAGTTAGATGGCATAAGGCCGGGGCGGGGGTGGGGGCGGGGCGGGGGCTGCGCCTGGAGTGCTGGCCTAGTGAAATTGGACCTGGTATCAGAAGCGCTAGTGAACTTTGGATGGTTTTTTTTTAATTGCGCAAGAAGCATGATACATGAATGTTCTATGAAGATTAAAGAGAGAGTTTTCCAAACTGAATTTACCTGTGAGATGCTGATAACTACTCCACAAAGATTTCTATGGACACATAAGGCTTTGTAGAATTCTTTAAAACAGGTTTCCTTAGCACCTTTGTTATGCTACAGTGTATTATAAAACCACTAAGAGGGAATATGATGTGAGCATTTCCCAAGCTTATTTGACAGAGAATCTCTTGTTTTATGCATTCTTATCTGTTTTCATCTTTCCAAACAAATACCTTGAGACCAAAAGTTTATACACGTGAAGAACTTATTAGACTAGAGAGAGAATGAGAGCAAGGGAACAAGTGAAGTGGCTGTTACAGTAATTCTGGCATACAATTAAGTTCTAAACTAGAAATGAAGAGAAGGGACAAATAGGAGATATTTTTGAGGAAAGAGACAAAGGGACATCACGACTAGGAACTAACTGAAAATTCAGGACAGAGGAAAAAGTTGAAGATAATTAGTTTAGTGTCACAAAGTCTCCAAAGAACCATAGGAACTGTGTCATGACTGATGGGCCAGGGCACTAATTGAGATCACCAAAGGACTCGGGTAGCTCCTGTAGTACATCTAGTTCTGGGTGCTATAAATTTTGCAGCATGATAATGGGTGTATAAAATGAGTATATAAAAGTGTCGCTAGGCAGTGCTGCTGGAAATATCCAGCTAAATATAATAAAATGCATTTTAACACTAACAAATCATGAAAGCACACAAGGTGGTGTGGTATGAAGACTGTACAGCAGCATGTGGCCTCAGCATGCCATTCCCCCTCCCTGAGTCCAGTTTTGTCATCTGAAAGCCTTATGTTTGGTATGAATCTGATCTGAGTCCCTTCAGACATTTAAAGGGAAAATTTTCATTCATCGTCTTTCATACATGAGGTATCGTTCAAAGTACAAGTGTTAATGACTGTCTACTTAATCCTTCTGCTATAGCTATGATCCCTCACGAAATAGAACTCAAATGGCCACCAAAATACACTTCTTAATTTTTAAAGTAGTTTAGAATGACATTTATCACTAAATAGAAATAGAAGCCTTTGCTCAGAATTTGTACCTTGATGGTTAAACTTGTTTCTATGGATTTTTGAAAGAAAAGGAAAATATGTAAGCAAATTAAAACATAGATACATTTAATCATATGGCAGTGATAAATAGGACAAAAATTAAAAGGAAGGATAAGAGTTAAGAAAATAGGACATCACTGATGAACTCTTAAATTCCAAGATTATAAGATTATAATTTATTTTACTCCTCTGGTCCTGAAAACCTGCTATATCTATAATTAACTCTTTGCCATCTCAGTGCCTAAAGTAAAATCTCCTACAGACTGACTGGAGTTAAGGCTGTGAGTAGGGAATGAATTGCTCACTTCAGGAACTCATATTCCTTGTAGCTTCAGGCCCTTGCTTAGCTTTAGGACTCTCAGCCGCCCAGGCCTTTTCTAGACCTGTTCCCAGTTTTATATTTGTAAGTCTGCATTGATTTTGTTAAAGAGGCCTCCCCTAGTTTTCAAAGTGTGACACCTAGCAAAACCTGGAGCCCTCCTGGTTTGTAGTAGATGTTTTTCAGAAATGATGAACTAACTGTAGGGTGAAATAGTGGAGGTAGCCAGGAAGTATATCTTTTTGAAGATAGGAAAGTCTGAGATGGCCAGAAACTTGAAAACAAGCAAACAAACGAACGAACGAATGAACAAAACATTATCCCCCTACGTTTCTCCTTTTCTGTGAAGTTGTGATCATGATATTGTTTCACTTTCTTCACACTATTTACTGGCTGGAATCGTTATTTATCTTTTCAGACACTGGTTTTTCAAGCTGTGAATGTATGGTGCTTAGAGGGCAAGAGTGGTAATCTAGTCCAATCTCTGGTTTTTCAAAAAAATCCAGAAGGAGCAAGGAGGCAGACACCTGGCTCTGTGGGAGGCTATTTAATTTTTAAAGAGTTTGTTGTCACATTCTCAAACCTTTCGATCTCAGCTATCATGACAGTAGCCAAATAAATGACTGTTACTCAGTTGAGAAATGTAATAAATTTT